CCGAGAAACCATGAGCTCATGGCATTTTCTCAAGAAAAAACAAAGTAACACCTTTATGGTGATTTGAGTATACTTTTAATAACTAAAAATGACTAGAAATGGTTCTAAGACCCAACTAGACCGGTTTCTGCTCTCATGCTATACTAGCAGAGCTTCATCAGTAGTAAGCCAATATCGGTATTTTATATTCGGCTAAAGTCGTGTCAAATGTTACAGTGCATAGATACCGGTAAGTGCATGTAATATAATTTTGTGTCAACCTCGTGATGAGTCCAATTCCCGGTTAACGATAAACATTGATTTGACAAGTAAACCTTTCAGACTTTTGGCCTTTTTATAGGCAGGAATTGGTTCGCTGAGATTGCATAAATTTCGGGTGTTCCGAAATTAAATGCCAGTCTTTCAGCAATGCTTTTGTTAGCTGCTTGGTTTTGATGTGTGGTGTGTAGATTATCTTGAAGACTAGAGGTGGTTCTTTTGGTCGTGTTTCATTCATGATTGCTCACAGTTTTCAAATTTTACGTCTTTTATGACTGGCAATTTCCTCTTTCTTGTGGTTACAGAGTAGAAGTTTCTCCATGATTGCATTTCTTTGTTCTAAGAAATCTGTCTCGTTGTTACAGAGATGTGCATATCTTAGTAGTTCTCCTTTGATAAAGCCTTAGGTTATCAGCAGTAGGCTAGAAACATATGGTATGCCTAATAATATTGACTATGCTTTGGCTCAACATGATTGAAATAGATTTTTCAATATTGGCAGGCATTATACACGTACATTTGTAAGCCTACAATTTTGTTCTGGGCGAATTATGTATGCTAATGTTCCGCTTCCTTCCGCATAAAAATACCTGTTTTAAATGATCAAGTTTGTAGTTATAATTAACCAGCTGTGTTTGAAAAGTTATTTGTACTTGATGAAGTATCCCTCAATATTAAATTAATCACAAAAATATGACTATACTACAGGGAAACCTGTGGCATATCCATTTTTTTTTTTTATAAATGTGGGCGGGCGTTTTTTCCCCGAGGCCCGGGTAAAAACGCCCGCCAAACTTCCTCCCGAAAAGGGGGGAAAATTTCCCCTTATCAATATAATGACCATGATTTTATATTTGCACCTGATAGAGGAGACATGTATTGCATAAAACCACATATTTATTTCCTAGTGTCTCCAAGTAGTACTGAGATATTTAACAAAAACCTAAAAATCGGGCGTTTTTACCCCAGTTTACCCTATGTTAAAATATAAACGGTACCTTTTAGCAGACACGGTGAGGGAAAATTTTGCAAGTTTTGGAAAACGTTAATATTTATTAAAATCGTTAAAAGTCCCGAAAGACACAACATTTTTTAATCGTCCTTTTTATACATTTCGGTAGAAAATATTTGATGACTGGTGAACTGGATAAAAATCGCCACTTGAAGGAGTTTTGACACTGTAAAAAGAGAAATTTCCCATGCCGCGATAATAGGGATGCCGCGATAATAGGGAGTCCGACTATACATGTACTATACATGTACTATGGGTCCTAAAGTCTGCTTTAGGTTAACATTGTCATTTTTTAGTACTATGTATAACTAAGTCTTAGTATAATAAAAAATTGTTGATTCTAATTTGATCGAAACAAAACAGGGGCCCTACACTACACGACCGCCGAAACGAATTGATACTGTAGTAGGCGCATATTAATTTATTATTATTACGAACAAGGCAGTGTCAGTGTCAGTGATTACGTTAGCCTTTAGTCAAGTCCCACGCGCCTCTACCCGGACCATCCGGACACGTAACGCAGGCCTGCCTGCTATGCATGACCGGTGACCTGGGGCCTACTTTGTATCGTTTGTACTTTTTGTCATGTTTGTACTTGTACTTGTAGTAATTAAAGAATCCGTTTTAACACTCACCCAGTTTACCTGTCTCGTGCAGTTTGTCCCAGACTACATACAAGCCATCCCGGCAACTCATCGAACCTTTAGTTGAGTACTTGAGGAGTGAGCAGCTAGTACAGGTCACATGAAAGAAAATGAGGATTCAACGGAGACGGCTGCCGTCAAAAAACTGTAAATGTACGTAGGCGCGTACAGTACAGACGGTGAGCGTAGCAGTGCGCCCTCCCCCGGCTGATTTAGACTAGTTAACACTCCTTTTGGAGGAATGCGTACGTGCGGGCGGGTACGTACGTGGACCCAGATGATGACAAGACTGCATCGAACTTGGCAACCTGCTGTTCCGCTCAACAGGGAAGTGGTCCAGCCCCTTATCCCCTTCGACTGCTTGTTCGTTATTACGTGCGGGAAAAAAACGGAAAAAATGATGCATAATTTGACAGCGCCCTCGCACGCATAAAAATAAGTGACAGTTTTGCCGGTCCGGCCGGCTGTCCCTGACTGTGCGGTTTTCCTTCCTCCATGATCTGACTGACTGTAACTCGTCGCCGCTGGCGACTCCTCTTGGCCAAAAAGTTTGTAGTTGGACTACACCTAGCTGAGACCAAATTTGTCTGGGATATGGATCATTTGTATGGGATATGATTCCCAGTCAACGTTGGAATTCCCAGTGTACACATCATCATCAAGAAATCAAATAAAACCCTTGGCCTACTACGTCGAACCTTAGCACCCTGTTCAAAGGTCGTCAAGACAAACGCATCTGTCTTAGACTCGAATATGCCTCTGACGCTCGGTGCCCATGACAAGATGGAGCAGGTCCAGAGAGCAGCGGCACCGTCGTGTACGTGTACGCCGACTATCCGAGGACGACCCATGTAACACCGCTGATTAACAATTAGGCTGGGACTCTCTGCATCATTTTCGACGTCTTCTGGCACAGAATTAATGTTCGTCAAGATTCATTACCAGTAAACATCCATTTCCCACCAATTGTCATCCCGGCTACACATTTCTCTCCTCATGACCATCACCTCAAGTACCAGATTAGTCAAATTACCAGATTAGTCCTATCCACCCACCACTGCACAGAAGCATAAGTATTCATTTTACCCAAGATTCATACGCATCTGGAATAACCTGCCGCCGTCTGCTCTCACCATAACAACTGCACCAGCCTTCAAGGAAGCTGCTCTTCATTCCATCGGGGAGATGCTTCCTCTACCTGGCAGCAACCTTCTGTAATCCACGTACCAGTTCCTTTATACATTTGTACATGTACAGTGTACCCTCAGTTAAGAGATCCCTTTCCTTTGTTTGTTTGGCTGTTCATCGTCTGCTGTACTGCTTTTTCTTATTTTACTTGCTTCCCGCGGCCGGAGACGCCATTCTGCACCAACCAACATCCTAGTTAATTTTGCTCAAGATGAGCTGTATGAAGATTACAGTATCAAGTAACAAGCATAAGGCGAAGTCTATGGAATATCGTCTTGCACAGCAAGAATAAAGCTGCGAGCAGATTCGGCGATTAATTATGCCGCAAAACTAGACTGCGTCTTGACCTCGAGATTCTTACCATTCATAGGGCGCCTTATATCGGGTTTTCCGTAAGTCTTTGTGATATTACACAATTATGACAGCCAAATTGACCGATCAACAGCTTAGTCCAAAGTTTTGATCGAAATGACGTCACAATTTCCAAAGCATAACATTTGCATTGCTCACACTTTTTTTTTATATCAGTTATAATGTTTAAGAATCGGGCACGTTTTAATATCAGGCACGTAAAATGATTCACGTCTAGGACAGACGGACCAGACTTGTGCCTTGTGGACCAAATAAAAACGTTTAGTAAATTTGTACTACGTAGGCCTACGTGTCAAAAAAATCCTATTTTTGATCCTAAATAACTTTGTTGTTTACCAATTGAATTAAAGCAACATTTCAGATCATGTAAACAGGGCATTGCAACTTTTATGGAGCGAGTTTCATCAGCTGTGTGCAAAAGGGAGAAATTTTAACGCCATACGAAAAAAATACTCACTTTCAGAATCTACCACTTTAGACTTGGGATCCTCCAATGTCGAAACAGCGCTGGAGACGGTGGCGGATACGAAGGAAGGCGCGTGCTGCGGCCGAAAGCTTGTGCAGGAATGTGGGATCACCCCTGATGTCATTGCACACGTACACCTCGATCGTTATAGGCGTAACACACGATCGATGAGGTGTGCAATGACAACAGGGTTGATCCCGCATTGGCATCAGAAGCTTCCGGCTGTGCAGCACATGCCTTCCGCCACCGTCTCCAGCGCTGTATCGAGTATTCTTTACGTAAATGGCGTTTAAATCTCACCATCTTGCACAAAGCTGATGAAACCATGGAGCAATTAATAATAATAATAATAATTTTTTATTCGGCAAATTGACATATACATGTACACACAATTACAATAAATACATAACATTTGATATTAAAACAAAAGAATATACAAACAATAAGACACCAAGTAAACACTGGCACGGAAGACAGAACGTGGACAGTGCAGGGCTGCCAAGGAGAAGAACAAAAGTGAAACAAAACACTGTCGCCAATAGGGCGTGTCTCTCCAACCCTGCACAATGACAGACACATAACACAGACCAAGCACAAAACAATTAAAACTATCAAAATTGCACAAGGGAGGAAATGTCCAAGGGAGTATAATATGGGATTAAAAAAATGGGCAGGGCAGATGAGGCTAAGTAAAGGAAGTGGATAGGAGAACCGGGCAGTACAACAGAGGGAGGGAGGGAGACAGGGAAGGAGAAGCCGGGGGGGGGCAAACAAACAAACAAAACCAGGAAGGGGAGGGTTAAAAAGGGCCAATGGGAAGGGGAACACGGAAGCGAAGCAACAAAACCAACTGTGGAGGAGCGGGCTGGGGAAAGGTATGGTGGAGGAATGTATCCGGCAGTGCAAAACAAACACGATTAACCAAGAATAGCATAAAAATTGTGCTAAAAACAACAGCAGAGTCTAAAGTAAAATGTATCAAGTTATGTCTAAGTAAAAAAATCAAGGAAGAGAATAAAGAACAAGAAAATTAAGGAACAGACGATGAAAACCTGCTCCATAAAATTGGTCATGTCTTGTTTGCATGATCGGAAATGTTGGTTTACTTCCATTAAGTAAACAACAGAGTTATTCAGGATCAAAAGTAGGACGTGTTTTTTGACACGGAGTAGATCTTTGATACAAACAGTGTGCGATATTGCTACCTGCAGCGGGCCGGGCCTTGTGCAAGCCTGAGCTTTATCCTGGCGTCCACCACTTATCACAATAATGATTTGTCATTACACTGTGTGTTTTTAATTGGGTTACATGGAATTATATAAAACAAATGTTTACATTTTTGTTAGGAAGAATTGTCCTCCTTGTATCAGCTCATAAAATGGAGTAGCATGCAGTGCGCGTAGTTGGTGATAGTTTGTATTATAAAGTGGGGGCGGGAGTAGGACAGTATAGGACGAGGAGCCAGGACGGATATTTTGCAAAATTACATGTACCTTGTTATAAACAGAAATCTTGTTCAAAACGGACTGGAACAGCAATAAAAAACAATGCTATTCAAAGCAAAAACAAAGCACTAGTATATCAGGGCGGATCTGGAGCCCCTCCGAAAATCACGTCAGCCACTTAACGTTATACATGTACTAGTAAAACGGGGCCAAAAATACTCAATTGAATGCTAAAGTTACTCAATTTATTCTCCAATCGCCAATTAGAATGCAAAGAGAAAGCATCATAGATTTCAAACATTTTCGGGGGCATGCCTGGACCGTACCCCTGGCGTGTCTTCGGCACGCCTTCACTCATACCCCTTCTTTCATATTAAAAAACCCACCCACCTCCACCCCCGTGTCCTGAACGCTAGGTCCGCCCTGAGTATTACAGGCTACGGTCGAAAATTCTTTTATTCAACAGAAAATCGTAACGTTCTTGTTGCAATAACTTTGTCATGTTGACTTTTGGTATAAGCGTGGGAAACACCCTCTTAATCGAATACGCAAAAGTCCTTTGAAAAAAATGGTTTGCCTTAATTACCCAAAATCAGTACAATCATGTACCACGTTGTCCGTGTACATGTACACGTATTATCAATTGGAAACTCAGTTTATTATTAAGTCTTGTTTCTTGTTTGAGAAAAAATTGAAATCGCTAACTTTTTGTATCTGTCAAGCGTTCTTATTTTGTTGTTATCCCATTGCTATGAAACTATGATGGCCCTAATACAAGGCATCGAATGATTTCTGATTTTCCTTCTTACGGGAATGTCCAATTTTTCCCATTTGCGTCCGAACACCCGAACTCCTAGCGTCCGATTGGTCCAGTCTTTCCAGCACGCTCAGCCTGCCCATGTCCCGGTAAAGATCGAACGCCTTCGCCGAATCCGGTATCAGGAAGGAAGTGAGTTCGGTGAACCTCGGGTCTCTGGATGGTTCGGATGTGTTGAACTGATTCGGGGCCGGCTTCTGAGTGAACGAGACGCGGGTCTTGCGGTGCATTTTCTTGGTGGGCTTAAACTGAGAACTCGTCGTGGAAAACGTGGATGATTTTCGATGCGATCGTCGGCGGGATTTGATGGGTTGAGAAGGCCCTCTTGTGTCTGCTTCGTTTGTCTCATCTGGTTTTGATTGGCTGTCAACTGTGCGCGCGCGTCGCCTCTTGTTTCCGCTACCGACTCCGGCGCCACCTTGATCCACCGACTTGCTCCTGTTCAGCGCTGCGGTGATTGGAAAGTTGGCAGAGTTCGTGATTTTCTGTCCACGATCTGCAGCGGCCGAAGCGCCGAAAACATCTTCGGATCCCTCTGACGAAACGCTCTCTGCTATCTCCGGAAGTTGGGACTTTCTCCTCTCTGTTTGAAACGTCCGTTTTGACGGTACCCTGGTGAAATCAGCGTCATAATTGTGGGAGTTTACCTCGCCGACCGACTTCAGCGCAAACGCGCTGCTATCCTCGTCAGGATTACCCTTATTGGCGTAACGCATCATGGTCGGTGTTGCCAGGAAACGTTCTGCCTCGGCCACCTGCGAATCGGTGGATTTGGTTCGATCGCAACTGAGAGGCCGCATGTACGAGGGGGACTTGTCTCTCTTGGGTCTTGGCGTGCTGTCAGCGGGGGCTTCATCCCCTGCCTGGGTGGTTTGGATACCCGGCAGTGGCTTGGTGGCATCGGCTCCGGTCTTGGCATCGTCCCGTCGGTTATTGGTGGCAGAAGTGGGATCGAAGACAATCCCGCCCTGAGTCAGTATGAGCCCACGTTGGTGAACGAACACGCTCTTCCGTTTCAACAGCTGGTAGCTCTTCCTGTCGACATCCTCACTCAACTTTTCAAATTCAACTCCAAGTCTCCTTGTCTCGTAATCGTTTCGACCAAGAATACATTTTCCAACGGCACTGTCCTTAGTGTTCATCGCCGTCTCCAGGCCCTTCTCTCGATCCAAGAGTATCCGTCTCGTGAGGACCTTCTCCGATTGCACACTGACTCTCGGTGGGTCGTCCAGAGCGTTGCTGCCCCCCGCGCGGACCGAGACTTTTCCGATCTGATTGATCTTGAACTTCTTGGCGATGGCCAGGGCTCGTTCCTTGTTGATGTACTTGGGCGGGGCGGGAGGGCGAGGCTTCCGGAGGCTTGAGGGCTTCTTGGTCGGGCGCGGGAGGCCCAGGATGGTGTCCACGTCCAGCACGGTTTGTCCAGTCTGAGAGTACATGACTGAGCGAAATAACTGACGGGGCCGATCAGGCTACTCTGCTTAATTTCCAAACAGCACCAGTGGGGCACGGTGTTTCTAAAAGGGATTCAGATGAACACAGAAACGTCACATTAATTTGCCATGTTCGTTATTTATCAAAAGCTATTGATATCTTGACGTACCGAAATCCTTCCGAAGATTTGAACAAGTTATAGTGAAAATAATTTAACTTTCATTTTGAAAAGCCTATCTCTTTAAAAATATTATTTAGTGTACTGCCCATACACTATATGGCGGCGAATTTGGGTTTTCTATGTCGTCTGAAATGGACAACGCAACATTGCATTTGGCAGGACAGTTGTGTTTTGTTAAGCAATACATGTAGAGATCTGCATAACACCAACAAACCAAAGCTGATAGGTACATATTCCATAGCCATACTAATCTTTTGAAGGACATTGCCAAGATGATACAAAGTGTAAACAAGATATTTGATTGTCCCAAAGTGACTAAGCGGTGATACGACTAGGCCTCTTGCTTTTGTTCGAATGAAAATTCTTATCAGTTGAAAAAAAAAAAATCATTTTGAGTGACGACAGTGCAACACCAACAAATAACTATACGCTGGATTTCGGGCAAGTGACCACTGTATAACATATCACGCACGGCCCCCTTCAATGGAGAAACCATTTCGCACACTTATATTGCTCATAATAAGTGCCCTGTATTATCTGAATTATAGCTATAGCACAATATTTTCGCCATTGAAGGGGGGCTTCGTGATAGAATTGATAGCGTGCCTGGATTGGTCTGTACACTAGATTTTTCAATCGCAGGCTATAATAAATGTAATGTATAACCTACAGTTTTTTTTAAATTTTAAGACTAGCTGGCGCGTGGTAAATGTTGAAAGTTTTAAATTGCCAGGTAGTGCCGCGCGCAGTCCGATTAATTACAGATCAACGGTAAAAGAAGTATTTAAGATTACTCGGGACCTTCCGTGCGATCAAAGTTCCAGATCAATTAAATCTCAAATTTTCACAGAATTGGCGGTCAACATTTTGATAAGTAGAACCTACACAGGAAAGAATTAGAATCACACTGCACCTGATACTCACTTGCCTACAGGGCTGCCTATTCAATGTGCATATTCAATAGGACTGTCTATTCAATGTGCACGGTAAATGATTTTGTAGGCCGATTTAATACCACCATGTCTTTTTCGGGTCGGGCTGTAATAAGTCAGAAGTTGATGATTGACTGTGTGAAACTAACTGACAGACTGCCAAACCAGTGACCCAGGTTGACATTGGGAGGAAAATACATCGGGGAAAACAATAAATGTTTTTTTTTTCAAGAAGATTCAGGTTTGCGAAGGTGCAAGAGGAGTCATACAGGTTGGCGTAGCGGTACTTTCCTCGCCTCCCACCCCTGTGACCCGGGTTCGTATCCTGCCTGGGCCAATATGTGGATTGGGTTTTCAGTCCCTGCCTGATTCCGTGGGTTTTCCTCAGAATATTCTTCTGGGCTTTTCCTCCCACCTGTAAAACTGTAATTTCTTCTCATTGTCTCCAGTCTACAGGTTTCGTCAGGCTTTCGAGCTAGTGCATAGGACACTTTTGAGGAATCCTTGGTTTTTACCTGAAAGAAACAAAATACTCAAATAAAAATAAATAATATCAACAGAGGGTTTGAGATAGTCGCCGAGGGCCCCATAGCAACGCATGGTCTACAGACATGAAGGAAGTGACGTTTGTATTTGCCTAATGTACCACTTACAATACAAATTTCTTCGGTTTTAACTGTCATACAATACGTTGATTTACAGTAAAACATCAAGGATTCCACATTTCAAAAGAAATGCTTTGAAATCCTGAAAACAGAAAAAAAATCCCCACAAATCTCACGCCTGGTGACCGACTCAGTCAGTACGGCCCGATAACGATTTCTTCAACGTTAAAATGCATATACATGTAGTTTCAAATCCACCATACATGCAACCTATACACTCCTGGCATTATTCTTCGGAAAACTGCACTTAATTGGTACCAAATGTAAACAACAAATTCCAACTTACCACCTTTCGCATTGTAGGCCTAGCTGTTCAGTATGTTACTTGCCAGCTCTCTGTAGTGTCATCATCGTTAAATATGATTTAATTGCATTCAAAGTTCAATTGAAGTTGCTACATAATATTCCTGCCGAAATGCTTTCTGGTTGCCACGCGCGAATCCAAACATTCCTTCCTTAATTTCCACACAAGCTTTATCCTCCCTAACATCAGTTGGTTAATTTCCGCGTCCCTCAGAGGAGAAAGAATTCCATTTCCTTCCACAATTAAGGAACTTTGGCAACTGCAGTCGCGATTGAAGCGGCGGAAATGATGTAGAATAACTCTCTACAAAATCTCTCGTGTTGAGAATACACCGTCCACCTGTTACCGAATAGCACTTAGAGATGTCGTTCGCCAACACTGAACTAAATATGACACGACCATGATGATTTATGACACACTTTTGTTATATTTTTTTTCGTTCACGGCGTGTCTTTCTTATGTGAAGTTACACTGGTGGAATCACTCAACACTCGACCGCGTCGCCAGCAACAGGTTAGCAACGGGACTGCGGGAGGCGCGGGTAATGAATGGAGCGGTTGCCGGAATGGGGTATGGCGGGCCTGATGTAACAAAATCACTTTTGAGTGCATTGACAATATTAATTGTACGGACTTTGCTAATCACAAAATTGCATGGAAGCATGGAGAAAGTTTCACTGCATTCTATCATGAAAAAAAGTAAGACTGCTGCAAACTGCTTACTGACTGGATGGACCTGAAATATATAAATCTAAAAATTAATGTGGCCTGACGTTGCGAACTTAGCAAGTTTTTCTGTTTTAGCCTCTGAAGAAGAACTTGCTAAGTTGGCAACGTCAGGCCACATTACTTTTTAGATTTTTGCATTCTATCATGTTTGCACAATTGGGAGATTTTAAACCAAAATATAAATAAAATACATTAAAAATAAAGTAAAAGGGAAAGAATGTTGCAACCTGACGCCACCTTTATTCTTCATATATCATCTCAATAAAGGTTAGTCATTGCAAAATTGTTTAAAAGACATGAATTTGAGACTGAGAAACATTTCTAAATTTGTTAGGAAAATTAGAGAAAATGTTCTTGACTCTCCATAGACTTTTACACAACCGCTGAAGTGGCGTCTGGATGCTACATTCTTTCCCGTAGAAGTACATGAATATCTCCATTTAAATGCAACTTCATCTTACTGCAAACGTTCGTTGAAATTCACAATGAACCCGTTACTCTCTCAAAAAGGAAGAATTTAGTTTTGACGAGTACGACGCGCCATATAATTACACCTCTTTGGGTATCTCGATTGCCAGTGTGTGTACAAAAGGCTTTTGATTGCTGTTGACAAAGGCATGTTTGCTAGGCTGATAAATATCTATTCGGCTAACCCTTCTGACCTTCCGAAGATTTGAATGACAAAGCCGCCGTATTGAATGTGTCAACAGGCACAAGTAGGCGCTAACTTTATTAATGGTTTGGACAGTGTATATAATATACCATGCAAATAATTCACTTAGCATTGCTGGTTCTGCTTTGAGGAATCTTTATATGTTTGACCATTCCTCCGTGGTTTAAGTTGACAGTGACACATTTGTGGTTCGTTTAGGGCTCATTCCATAAAATTGTGGTCCCATTTTTTTCATGTCCCTGTTACTACATGTATAAGATTGCGAAAATTTAGGACACGTTCCTTATAATACCTCCTATCTCCAAGAGTAACCGCTAAACAAATACAAAAATAGTTTGAAGTAAATTTCAATATTTGCATGGCAAACTAAAGGAAAATGTGCTTTGCCCCCCTCTAGAAAAAAAAATCCTGGCGACGCCTATGATGCAGGGTGGCCCATACTTCCACTAGACTCGAACCACATATACCAATGTATGGAGAATCATTTTAGAAGAGAAATCTAAACCAAGATCGCCCGATTCGGTCCAGTAGTTTTTGTTCTAGAGCTTATTTTGTGAAGCAAGGTGGGGATCATTTTTGTCCCGATGAATTACTAAACCGCGCCCGGGAATTTGACTTACATTGCAACTGATATAGGATTGTTATGTAATAATACCCACATGAAAGAAGTGTGCTCACAAAATAGGCTCTGCAGCAAAAACTGCTGGACCGAATCAGGTAAATGTTGGTATCATAATTCTTCTAAAAGGATTCAATTGGTACAGGTGGTTTGAGTCTTAGGGTAGTGGAAGTATGCCGTTCCGGTGTTTTTTTTTACCACCCTGTATAATGCATGACTTGCCCAGTTGTTACTTCCCCCCCCCCCCCTCAAAAATCCATACAGATCATGGAGGAATAAAAAGAGATTTTTGTTTAGTCCTCCATGCACAAATCATCACTTAAAGCTCTTTGCTACTTAATGAAAATGTCACTTTGTGACTGAAAGTAAAACTACAAAAACAATAATTTAGACGCATACATATATTTCCTTCAGAGAGAACTTTACTGTATGTTAAACCAAGTATACACAGATAAATAAATACAATTAAATTTTAATTTTTTTTCTGGAAGAGTATACTTTTAGCAAGTTATTTTAATAAAAGATTACATTGTCAATTATTATAAACAAAAGATGTATTGGTTTTTTTTTTAAAGGTTCAGCAGTGGTCCGTAATATCAATTTTAAATGCAACACAATGTGGGAATGCGGGGTGGTAAAGGCTTAAGTTGTTGACTCGACCAAAATGTTCAACACCTAGAATAGGTATATATTACATGAGGGTTTACATACAGGGCGAGTCAAAAAGAAAATGACCTGGATTAATGATTTTAGTTTTCTTAAAAAGCATTCTGATACACCAATGAAGTATGTCTTAAAAGGGCTTGTTCTTCCACTCACCTGAACAAAATGACTGAAATTGACCCATGCTATCAGAAGTTATCAGGGCTGTGAGTGATCACTGATAAAAATAGCTGAAAACAGCTGAAAAAAGGTGCAAAAAAGCTGAACTTTGAAAATCTCCTATACTTTTGTACACAGCAAGTAAGGGAAAAAGCTGAAAAAAAGCTGAAATCCAAAACAAAAAAAAAGCTGAAATCAGCTTTACAGCTGAGATTTCACAGCCCTGAGTTATGTATGTTTTACTAAAAAGAAGCTATTTTTATAGCTGTCCATGGAATGCCATTGGAAGCTATTAGCTGAGTGAGAATTACAGATAACACAGGCATTCAAATTCAAAAGAGATTTTAATCAATTGAGTCAATTAGACTGAAACATTATTTTTACTGTCAGATTTTGTGTTTGGAATACGAGGAACAAGTCAACTCTTTTGTTTCTGAAATAGTTATTGCAATTGTTTTTCTCCGTTTTGCTTTGCAAGCTTTTAGTCATTCATGGAGGTGGAAAACGTATATGTTTCATTGTATTTAATGGGTATTCATCAGTTCGTAGAACGGTAATTGACCAGTGGTGGACAGCTGAATTTTGTGATCTTTTTATTAAAATAGACATAACTTGGGAATAGAGTAAGCGAATTACGTGACATTTTCACAGTTACTAGTCAATAACATGTACCGGTACTTTATTCCTATGTTATGTTTATGACATGGAGTGAGCCACACATTTAAAAAAAAAAATCTAATTTGGTCGGTTTCTGTTTGACTTGTCGTGTACATGTTTCACAGACAGAGTTGCGATAACTGCAAAGTTTTGGTAAAACTTAACTCACGTACTTTACGCAACACTTTGGGACTTTTGCACAGTCACCAGGTTTCTTAAAGGGAATATACAACATTTGCAAACATCAAAAAATAAAACTACCAAGTTTTTAAGAAATACCTTACTAGGATGTTGGTAAATGAGAGTCTAAAGCATCCTGTAAAATTATGGCACCTGGTGTGAAGTCATTTTCAAGAAAATGGTATTTTTGTATACATTTCCAACGGTGGTCGGCCGACCACCGTTGGAAAAACCTAACTATATTTCCACTACTGCTCCAAATTTACTTTTTTTCAGTCCAAATTTTGTTTGGTATTGGTTACATGTTCATGAACGGGTGCAGGCCAGCTAGACTGGTTCCCTTACCTTACAATTTTCTGGCCACTATAAATTGATCCATTTCATCTTTAGTGGAGTCGGGGAACCAGACTACTTGAACAATTTTGTTTTTCTTGGTTTTTCCAGCATTTTCGAACATAGAACTTCAAACATGTCAGTGTAACAATATTTGATATATTATACTAACCCCTCAAATACTCCATTTCTGAAAATTACAGCAAAAGCCAATGATGTACATTCCCTTTAACTCCCTGTCACTATCATTGACAATACGATAAAATAAAACACAGAATCTCATGACAGAATGGTTTCCTATATTCTCTGGTTAATGGCATCCCAAACTGGTACCCCTCATTCCACAAGTCGGCTTAGATCTGCAGGGTGAGTCAGAATGATCTGGACCCAAGTTCATAATTTTTTTGGTGGCAAATAGAGCATAGTGAGGAAAAAACGAGTGTTTCATATTAATTGTTGTTACCTTGTCTTCCACAGGATATTTTAATTTAGCAAGTTAGTGGCTGTGGTGAGGAGTTATGCCATTTTCATTGAAGCGGCTGCAGTCTGCACATGGAATTGGTTTTACCTTTTTTAAATGTTTCAACACCTTCAAGTCAGTCACCATGACTAGGATTTTAGTAGCTATTACACTGCTTCACATCAGTACGTGATTTCAATAAATGTGTTAACCATGGAACCGTGGTCAGAGTGTTTTTTAGTGTGTTCTTTTCTAGCGCTTTTCTTTAAAATGGTACAATGGATATACATGAAACTTTCACCAAATGTGTCTAAAATACCAACCTATAACATATCTCATTTGCTCTTGTTTTAATTATTGCTACATATTTTTAATATTTTCTTTAATTTGGGTCCAGATCATTCTGGCTCACCATGTACTTGTCCCAATCACTGCACATAATAAGCAGAGGAAACAGCCAGAGGTCTTAAATAAACTTGCAACCACAGTTTTCTTTCAAAGTTCAGTGCTTGAATTTATGTTGCGACATCTTTCAATTTACATCTATTAACAAACACTCCTTCATTTTGTCTTTCTATTTTGAATTCTACACAACTATACAATATAAACAAGGTAAACAAATTCAACTTTTTTCAAATACATCTGCAGAAAGCCTCAGCAGAGATCCTTGAGCAAACTGTTTCATGTGACCTTTGACCTGAGCTGCTTAGCTGCTTAGCTGCTTAGCTGCTTTGTGTTTGATTCATCTGTAGCACCCAGTCCACTGTGTGCTGGAGCAACGTCATTCTGTAGTGTCTGTAGAAAAATAACACCATATAAACTAGAGTTTGTAGGAACAAACACACGGTGTTGGGCTATGTTCGGTTTGATTAGCATACTGATGAAGCTGATTATATTCATCAATATTATACAGTGATTTCAGCAAACTTCGCCACACACATCAACTGAAAATTCATTTTTGACATTTTTCAACCTGCCGCATTTTATGATGTCACCGGTAATATTGTTTTGTAAAAGTTCAACCTAGCCAGAGACTAACATTGTTGAAAGCAAGTTCACATCTTTTTCCACTTATATTATTATAAGGCACTTCCGGTTTAGACCGAAAGGAAGGGTCACGTGATTTTGCACACATGAGATAAAATTAAGATCCTGGATTATTCTAACCATTCCCACAAAATTCAAGTTCAGGTCTCTCACGGTTTATTTCATATTGATTTTCAAAGATTAAATCTAGAAATCTTTAATTGTTTTTAATTATTATATATGATGACGTCATACTGACGTCATTGCGTTTGCGCACATCTTCAGCAGGTTGTGCATTAAGTCGATATCAGTTTTCATGTTGACAAACAGTTCTGGAGTAGAATTAGTCTTGGAAAATAAAAATAATAAGAGTAGTACATTTTACAATAACAATTTGTGTTTATCGGCTCATAGTCATACACCTAATAAATGATTAAATTGTAATGTTTAAATAGCACTTTCCATTGTATCAACAATCTCAAAGCGCTTTACAATGATTCCCCCGTTCATCAGGCTGCGAGACCACGAGGCAACCAATATCAGCGCACATTTGGTCCTCTACCCTCACAGGTACCCATTCATACTCCTGGGTGGAGAGAGGCAATTGTAGTAAAGTGTCTTGCCCAAGGGCACAAACACCATGTTCCTGGCAGGTTTCGAACCGTACATGAGACCAACACCATAATAACTGGACCATGGCATTCTACATGGCATCAAGACAAAGCACTGCCCAAATGGCAACATGCAGTTACTAACACATTATCAGGTCAAACATTTCAAAGCTTACCGTGCAATATTGCTGAAAGTCTTCATCTTGTTCAAGAAACTTGAGCTTGTAACTGTGGTGGCAAAGTTTCCAGCACAATCGCAGTAGGATGACATGTTGGGCATCTTTATCTAAAGACAGTAATAATTGTTATGCTTTAAGTAATAATAAGATCAATGAATATGAAGTTAAATAGGATTCAACACTCGAGTCCAATTCATGTCAAAATTCAATTTGCTTTGAACAGTTAGTAACACAACAGAAAAATCGTAAGGTGCGCACGCACAGGCAAAAGCGATTCAATGTCATAACATAATTATGATTAATGTCAGCACAATTAAACACAGCTTTTCCATTAACCCTTAACACATCTACTCTGCTAACCCTAAACAAAACTTTTCTGCTAGTTGTTAACAAAACTTTTCTACATAACGTTAACACTTTTCTGCTAACCATTAACACAACTTTTTCTGCTAACTATTAACACAACTTTTCCACTAACTCTTAACACATTTTTCTGCTTTAAACCATTAACAACTTTTCTACTAACCCTTAACTCAACTTTTCTGCCAACCGTTAACACAATTTTTCTGCTAAACGTTAACACACCTTTTCTGCTAAACTAACAACTTTTCAGCTAACCATTAACACAACTTTTCTTCCAACCATTACCACAACTATTTTGCAAACCATTAACACTTTTCTGCTGACTGCTTACACTTTTCTGCTAACCGTTAGCACCAAATTTCTGCTAACCGTTAACAATGCTTTTCTGTCGACCGTAAAGTGCCAGCACTTAATTGGTAGTACCTGGCTTTATAAACCAGTGGTACTGCAGATAAACGTGCCCACAACTTATCCCAGATATTCCTTGAGATGACTCCTTACCTGTTGACATTTGGCACAGACCACATCCTGTAGGGTGTAGGCCATGGAAGACCGCTGCACTGCCTCAATCAATGATTGCTCTATGGTGGCGACGTCATACTCTGTACTGCACTGTATGCACTGCCATAGGGCTCTGAAGAGAAATATAGAAAATCAAATAAATATTAGTATATGCAACAGTGACACGTACTTGTGGCAGGGTTCGAGTAGCCCGCTAGCCAAATGCTAATCAAAACAGCTGAAGGCTAGTGAAACTATTCCTTAAGTAGCCCGGCTGGCGAGTCAAAAAATATTGGGTTTATGGCAAAGATGAAAGGACAGGAAGAAAGAAATCACAAAATTCAGAAAGTACAGTGATCGCTTGCTCTGATTCATTTATACTTATAAAGACATTGACGGATTGACATACAAGTTGGATAGTTCAGTTGAGTACCGTTGCAGTGCTCTGGATGATGTAGGTTTGAACCATGCTTCTTCTCTTCAAATATTAATAAATGTCTAATCGGAGACACTTTTTTTTCATCACTGGAGTGTTCACTGCACATGAAAGTGAATAAATTTGAAATAATAACTTGCAATGCTTATATAGCGCTTTCCATCGTATCAACAATCTGAAAGCGATTTACAATCATTCCCCCATTCATCAGGCCACGAGACCACGTTGCAGCCGATATCGGCACACATTCGGTACTCTACCCTCACAGGTACCGATTCATACCCCTGGGTGGAGAGAGGCAATTATAGTTAAGTGTCTTGCCCAAGGGTACAAACACCATGTTCCTGGCAGGGTTCGAACCCACGTATATACTGTTGCGTTCCCGCAAATTGCGTAGTTTACTTCTTTCCCAACCAGTCCATTCCACTCCGTGCACAGCGTAATGCTTGCAGCGATCCTGTGTGCCCTCACACAGCGCGAAGCTTTACCACGAAGTCTTTAGACACACGTAGAAGTGTGCAGCACATTATACAGTACGCTATTGTATAGCGCGCAATGCATGTAGCTCTCACAGCTATTGAACATGTACCGCCATGGGACATGTACTTAGGACTTAGCCATTTTCCCTCCACCTTTCCCCGGAGTCGATGCGAATTCCCCTCACACACCTTACCTCGCATCTGACCCACATTGACCCGAAGCATTTAGCGAATGTGGCTCGCTAAAATCTACCCGTGTATTCACCCCTCAGTGACCCCGTACACCCCAGCGAGTGTGTCCCGCTAACCCACTGGCCGAGACCTACGGTAGCTAGAGGTCAGGTTACGTCCTTCGTCTCATAGTTTTACTCCATAGCATTAGTGTGTAGATTCTTACCTAGTCTAGAGACTAAGTCTTGTACACAAACCTATGTACCGAGAAGTTATTCCCTTTCCCTTTTCCTTGAGGATCAGTTCCCCGTAACGCACCCACGAGTGATCCTACTTCGCCCGCTAACCACTGCTCTCGGACTTTATCCCACTAGAATGTCTAAGTCAGTCGTGTACAAATCTCCCATAGAGAACTTTCCCCATGCCTTTGTACACGGATGCATTATTCATAACTACTAGAATCCAATGCTCCCATTGGCTAAGACGCGCCCCCAAAAGTCTATATAAAGCGCGCAGAAATGGCAGTTCTGGTCATTGTTGTACTGGGCTCTTCCCCAGTAGATTCTTGAGCTGAGCTCTGACCTACACAGAGCTCCCGCATATGATGCATTAGATTGTTGATCTGGGCTCTGACCCCGACAGAGTGCCTGACATGTACACGTAGATTATCGAGCTGTCCGCTCACTGGCCATAGACCCTAGCCTAGTACCAGATAATCATGTACGCCTTAACTTTACATTGTATATAGTGCGCCCTCTATTGACCTGAGATGTAAATAATCCCGAATAAAGTACTAGTGTGTGTGTAAGATATTTGTATCTGACTCTTTATTTGATAATGTCTCTCAACCAAGAGAGACGTTACACTGGTGGCAGCGGTGGGATACGAACTTACACACACCATCGAACTATACCATGACTTTTAATTAAGTCACTTCATGTACCCCTCCACTGAACGGATCTCCCAGCTTTAGACTCTGACTTTCTGCACGGTCAATATCAGCAGCCAACATGCCTGCCAAGCGAAAATCTCACAGGTTACAGTCGTTGTATGATGATGATGACACCAACCTGTATTCAAGTCTACAGGCAGAGAGTGCAGAACTCCAAGAACTTAAAAAACAGTTCGAACTTTTCAAGCTTCGTTCAGTGGAGGCGGAGAAAGAGCTGAAACAACTCCGAGCAACTGCTGCATTACACAGCCCATCAACGGCTGAGCAGACAGATGCCAATGTTTCAGCGAAATCGCCCAAGGACTCACAGCCAGTGATGTCCGCTCCCAGTACTGCCCCTTCCACCGTTCCAAAAGCTGACGCCCCTAAACCAACAGAAGCAGAGCAAGCAGAGCCCCGTCCTCTCCGAACCCAGCCGAGTCATAAGCTGGATGTTCCTCTCCCTCGCCAAGGAGAATTCGACGGCACGAAGTCATGGGAAGGCTTCGTCCGACCTCTGATGGGTCTCGCCGAGGCTTGCGGCTGGTCCGAGGAAGAAAAGCGCTTCCGACTTGTCAGCAGTCTACGTGGAAAGGCGGCCGAGTACGTGTACCAGCAACTGGATCCCGAAGCAATCAAGTCGTCCGACACCCTGGTGAAGGAGCTTGGTAAACGATTTGGCGAACGACAATTGCCAAATTACTACATCGCTCAGCTAGAAGCGAGGAGACATCAGCCGAAGGAGAAGCTGGCGGAGTTTGTAGCCGACATTCGCCGCCTCGTCTTCCGTGGCTACCCTACGGCAGATCCAGTTACCAGAGAGAGCATCGCCCTTCGCCATTTTCTGAAGGGCCTCCCCGACCAACAGATGGCAGTTTCCGTTGGCATGACGAATCCCAAGTCCCTTGAGGAGGCAACAACGGCGGTGGAAAACTTTCTGAGCCTCCGTGACACCACAAGCTTGGGAAAATCACATCGTGTGAACACCGTACAGGCAGCATCTGAGGCTGATCCCGGGTTCGTCAACCAAAAGCAGTTTAAACAGTTCCAAGACAACCTCGACCGACGGTTAAACGGAATTGTCAAACTGATCAAAGATAAGCCCGCCTACAAGCAGAAATCCGCCAAGCCTGCTGAAGCCAAGAAACAGCAGATGGATGTTACTTGTTTCAAATGTGGCAAGCCCGGCCACTTTGCAAACAAGTGCCCCGACATAGCGGCCAAGGAGGTCGTCGTCATACAGACGGAAAACTAACGCGGACCGTGCCGTCCGGCCTGGCACCGGTCCGTCCCAATGAACAGAACACTATCCGAATGGGTAGACAGCAATTTCAAGGCATGTCTGCATTTTTGCGAGTGCAGATATGCGACCAAGACAGCGAACTTTTAGTCGACACCGGAGCGGCGGTGACCATCATTTCTTCAGCACTTTTCAGCCAGATCCCTGCTGAAAAACGCCCTGAACTCAAACCCCCGTGCAAAAGCACAAAACTAGAAACTGCAAACAAGGAACTCATTGACATTGAAGGTGTTGCCACAATCGACATGATGATTGGTGAACAGCACTTCCAATGGGATGCATTTGTCGCCCCCATCAGCGATGAAGGAATCCTTGGCTATGACTTTCTATACCACTATGATTGCATATTGGAGGCACGTAACGGCATACGAATTGCCGGTAACTGGGTTCAGTGGACAGTCCAAGGAGCCCCTCCCCGTGTAGTTAAGATCGCACTGAAGCAGAACACTACAATTCCAGCATGCAGCGAGTGGGTAGCAGAGGGCATAGCTGATCATCACAAACTGAGTTCCATGTATGCAGTCGTTGAACCTGCCAACCTTCGTCACAATGTTGTGGTTGGCAGTTCACTCATTGATCCCCGCCGAGAAGACATCGGCATCCCTGTCCGACTTGTGAACACTTCACCCGAGAACATTGAACTTCAGGCAGGTACAACGCTTGGATATCTGCATGAAGTTGATGCGGTTGAGCTCATAGCCGAGCAGGAAAACTGTGAAACCGATCACCTCTATCGAGTAACGCGAGTGTGCAGAGAGCATGCCCGCCCAACGTCATACGCAGTCAACCCAGTCAGTCCCGCCGTCCCCGACACCCCAAATCCTTCTGACAAGTGGTCAGAAAACCTACAGAAACGGTACGAGAGGAGTTGTGAAAACCTGTCCCCACACCAGCAGAAAGCATTGTGTGAACTTTTGGCCAGCCACGAGAACACTTTCGCCAAATCCGCGGAGGATTTGGGAAAAACGTCAATAGTGCAGCACACTATTGACACCGGCGACGCACGCCCCATACGACAGCCTCCCCGCCGCCCCCCCAAGGCATTTCAGGGCGAGGAGGAGAAAGTTCTCGAGAGCCAACTCAAGGCGGGTGTGATCCGCGAGTCAACATCCCCCTGGGCATCACCAATGGTTTTTGTTAGGAAAAAGGACGGCACAACTCGTCCGTGTGTCGACTATCGTAAGCTGAACGATGTTACGCGCCGTGACGCGTATCCCCTACCCCGTGTTGATGACTGCCTAGATTGCCTGAGTGGGGCAAAAATCTTCAGCACTCTCGATCTGCAGTCGGGCTACTGGCAGATTGAAGTGATGAAGGAAGACCGTCCCAAAACCGCGTTCGTAACCCGAAGTGGACTGTACGAGTACGTGACCATGCCTTTTGGGTTATGCAACGCACCCAGTACCTTTGAGCGCTGTATGGAGCTAGTACTCAAAGGTCTGCAATGGCGAACTCTGCTGATATATCTAGACGATATCATCATCCTGTCATCAACATTTTCCGAGCATATTGAGCGTCTTGGTGAAGTCCTACGCCGACTAGGAAACGCTGGACTGAAGCTGAAACCGAGCAAGTGTGAACTCTTCCAGACGGAAGTTCTGTTCCTCGGTCACATCATCACACCAGATGGTGTCAAACCAGACCCTAGTAAAGTTTCTGCTGTGCAGAACTGGCCCACCCCCAAGAACATAACTGAAGTACGCTCTTTCCTGGGACTATGTTCTTACTACCGTAGGTTCATAGCCCAATTCGCCACGATAGCCAGCCCCTTACATCGTCTGTTAGAGGCCGGACAGACGTTTAAGTGGACTCATGACTGTCAAGCGGCTTTTGAGAAATTAAAGGCCGCCCTCACCGGCAACGAAGTCATGTCATACCCCAATGATGATGGGTTATTCATCATTGATACCGATGCTTCAGATAGTGGCATTGGTGCTACTCTATCGCAACTCCAGTGGTGTGATCGGACCCAGAGGGAGGAAGAACGGCCGATAGCATATGCTAGTCGGTCGATGACAAAGCCGCAGCGTCGCTACTGCACCACGAGGAGAGAACTCCTCGCAATCGTCACCTTCCTTCAGTACTTCCGACACTACCTACTGGGCAAACAGTTCCTCATCAGAACTGACCACAGCGCTCTTCGATGGGTCATGTCTTTTCGTGAGCCTGTCGACCAGATGGCAAGATGGCTTCAAATCTTGTCTCAGTTCGACTTCAAAATCGAACATCGACCAGGGAAGAAACATGGCAACGCAGATGCCCTCTCTAGGGTGCCATGTGACCCTGACGACTGTCCGTGCTACGACGGAACGACCATACTCGCTGAACTCCCCTGCGGCGGTTGCGAGAAGTGCAAAGCCAAAAGCGAGCTGTGGTCCGATTTTTCGCAAGTCGACGATGTGGTCCCCCTTTCGACCAGACGAGTAAACGCTACCTCCGCTGAAGTTCAATTCCCAAAGAGAACATCAGCTGCTGACGATCAGCCCTCGAGCAATGACGCCAACCCTCAGGCCAAACCCGTATCCCCACGGACAGTCCTCGTACTGATGGCAACGTTGGTAACCCTCCTACTGGTTCCTGTGTGTAGCATTGGTAAACTTATTTGGCGCTCGTGCAGTGAGTTTACCTGCAGCGACTTTGACGATGGACAGTTCAAAGGTCGTTTTTCACACACAGCCACGCCTATCGGAGAAACTCCCGGGCAAGCCAATTTGCCCACAGCCATTCGGGTAGTACGGCCGAACAACCGAACTAAACCTGCTACAATATCCTCTGATTCGGCTGGAAGAGAGTTGGACTGCAACGCGCCCTGCATCCCGCAAAAGGATGCCGATGCCGGTTCAAGTACCGGGCAGCAACTTGCAGAACAATCGAATCCAACCGGACAGCAAGACGACCAAGATGGTGAGGTCACGAGTGATCGTACCCCTTCTAGCGCCCCCGCCGGTCCCAGCGCCGGACGAGCCACATCTTGGGTCGGTGGCTACACGACAGAGGAAATAGCTAAACTGCAGAGAGCAGATCCAGACCTGAGGATCATCATGGAGTTGATGACCAAATCACATGAGAGACCAAGCAGAGACCAGATAGCACGCAAAAGTCCCACCACTAGGAACTTGTGGTTGCTATGGCAACAGCTGGTGCTGAAAGACGGTGTTCTTTTTAAAAGATGGGTAACTCCTGACCAGACCCAATCTTACCTGCAACTTGTGATTCCTCAAGCACTGCAGAGTGCCGTTCTTCAAGCTGCACACGACGCCGTCACCTCTGCTCACCTCGGGGTGAAGAAAACTGCTCAGAAAATCAAATGCCAGTTTTACTGGTACAGGCTTAAGGAAACAGTTCGTGACTGGGTCCGCAAGTGTGCTAAGTGTGGTGCCCGCAAAAGGCCACACACAACCCCCAGAGCACACCTCGAGGATTATCGAGTCGGCGCGCCGATGGACAGACTAGTCACGGACATCCTTGGTCCATTCCCTATCAGTGACAATGGGAACAAATACATCCTTTTAGTCGGTGACCAATTCACAAAGTGGATGGAAGCTTACCCGATTCCCGACCAAAAGGCAGAGACGGTGGCTCATAAAATCGTCTACGAATATATTTCCCGTTTTGGCCCACCCCTTGACATTCACTCCGACCAAGGCCGAACTTATGAGTCTCATCTCATGCAACAAGTTTGTAAGCTGTTGGAGATCCACAAGACTCGAACTTCCCCATACCATCCATCCGCCAATGGACAGGCGGAGAGATTCAATCAAGTTCTGGTTGACATGATCGCAGTGTATGTTGACAGTGACCAACGCAATTGGGACATCCACCTCCCACTTCTAACTTCAGCGTACAGAAGTTGCCAGCATGAATCTACAGGTTACTCGCCTAATATGCTTATGTTAGGCAGAGAAACCCATCTACCAATTGCGCTTGTACTCGGTGGCCCCAACACAGAGGACCAACCTCAAGATGAATGCGAGTATGTTGCATCCGTGAGGAAACGGATGGAAACCGTCCATCATCTGGTTCGTCAACAGCTTGGTAAATCCGCTGAACGACAGAGGAAAGACCACGATCCCCGAGTTTCCCAAATAAACTATCAAATTGGTGACTTGGTGTACATGCGAGACAGCACAAAAACCCTTGGGTTATCTCCCAAGCTAAAACGAGCTAAATGGGCAGGCCCCTGCGTCATTCTCAGAACATTGAGTGATCTTCTGTTTGAAGTCCGGTTCAAGCAACGGGGAAGAACAAAAATTCTTCACCATGACCGACTTAAGCAGTATCTCAGTGACGAGGTCCCAAAATGGATGCTGGACCTTCGTAAAACTTTGATGGAGAAGGGTTCTCTCTCAAAGGATGATGCTGTCCCCCGCAGTAACGCCAGGAAAACATCCAGCACCAAACGCGCTGATGACCCCTCATCAGCCCCGCCTGCTACAGTATCTGTTTCCCCGACACCAACTGTAGCGCCCTCTGCGACAGGAACTTCGCCCTTGTCAGAGAGGAGGAGTACCCGTTCTAAGAGAAGGCCAGCGAGACTTCAGGATTATTTCTAGTCTCCCACCTCCATCTTTCACGACGCTTATTCATGGTCGATGAACTGCGTCGAGTGAATGAACTCAGTGTTTTTCCCTCCATTGATATGGACACTGAACTTTTATTTTCGTCGTTTTCAGATGAATATTTACCTTCTTTTTGTTTTGATTATCTCTCATTTATCCGCATTTAAAGGAAATGTAACCGTTCGTTGTTTTCTTTATGTTCACTTTTAGGTTTTACACTTTTTGCATGTTTTTAGCGCTCCAGTTATCTTTGCTTTTCCTTAACTCTTGTTCTTCCATAATTCCTTTTATTACAACGAGGACGTTGTAAAAACTAGGGGGAGATAGTGTTGCGTTCCCGCAAATTGCGTAGTTTACTTCTTTCCCAACCAGTCCATTCCACTCCGTGCACAGCGTAATGCTTGCAGCGATCCTGTGTGCCCTCACACAGCGCGAAGCTTTACCACGAAGTCTTTAGACACACGTAGAAGTGTGCAGCACATTATACAGTACGCTATTGTATAGCGCGCAATGCATGTAGCTCTCACAGCTATTGAACATGTACCGCCATGGGACATGTACTTAGGACTTAGCCATTTTCCCTCCACCTTTCCCCGGAGTCGATGCGAATTCCCCTCACACACCTTACCTCGCATCTGACCCACATTGACCCGAAGCATTTAGCGAATGTGGCTCGCTAAAATCTACCCGTGTATTCACCCCTCAGTGACCCCGTACACCCCAGCGAGTGTGTCCCGCTAACCCACTGGCCGAGACCTACGGTAGCTAGAGGTCAGGTTACGTCCTTCGTCTCATAGTTTTACTCCATAGCATTATTCATAACTACTAGAATCCAATGCTCCCATTGGCTAAGACGCGCCCCCAAAAGTCTATATAAAGCGCGCAGAAATGGCAGTTCTGGTCATTGTTGTACTGGGCTCTTCCCCAGTAGATTCTTGAGCTGAGCTCTGACCTACACAGAGCTCCCGCATATGATGCATTAGATTGTTGATCTGGGCTCTGACCCCGACAGAGTGCCTGACATGTACACGTAGATTATCGAGCTGTCCGCTCACTGGCCATAGACCCTAGCCTAGTACCAGATAATCATGTACGCCTTAACTTTACATTGTATATAGTGCGCCCTCTATTGACCTGAGATGTAAATAATCCCGAATAAAGTACTAGTGTGTGTGTAAGATATTTGTATCTGACTCTTTATTTGATAATGTCTCTCAACCAAGAGAGACGTTACAATACGCAGCACGATATGTGAAAGTGGGTACCCCCCAATCTCCCCCCTAGATATCTGAAAAGAATTCCTGAGATTCTGGTAGCACAATGACCAACACAAAAGAGGGGGAGGGGGTTCCCTCGTCAAATATCATGCTACATATGCCCACGTTCCATCGTACATGAGTCAAACACCATAACCACAGGACCATGGCATTCTACAATGCTTTATGGAATTAGTTACACTATCACAAAGAATGAGAAAATGACTAAGCTGTGCGCAAATACGCCATGTCGAATGGCTGCTCATTTGAAAAGTTAGGAGGACACACAGCAGAGTTTAAGGAACTACTACCGCTTCACATGGCGCTAGCTGACTCTGTCAGTGTTACAAAGACTTACACAGAGTTTCCGTCCTGTACAAGGAGCGGGTCGCGACACAGGTCCAGGTCCCGGCAGTGGTTGCAGACGCGACATATGACCTCCGGCAGGACGTAGGACAAGCAGGGGTCGCGCCAGACGGCCGAGTCTGAGAATTCCCCCGTGCCGATCAGCCGGAAGAGGTTACGCTGCAGGCGGTTCACTTGGTTGGTGACGTCCGAGTCTAAAGATAGAATCTGGAGGATATAGTCGACCAAACAAAGAAAAGGTTACCAAATACTCACTTTCACAATGCGTCAACACAAACTGACACTTGTCTTCACCATGTAAACCTATACATAGTTTGTGCCACTAAGGTTTGCTGCCCTGCTCAAATCTTTACCTCCCTGCTATGTTTTACATCATCTGCTTCACATTTTAATTAACAAAGAAGAAGACTATCTTCCTTTATGCATTCTTTATCATTATAAAAAGTAAAAACATGAAGATTTAAAGAGGTTGTGAAATGCTCGAAGACATTTCCGTCATTCTTTGGGTATATGTAGCCTAAGGTGTGATGAAATAAAAAAGACTATTGTTTCTGTCATAAAATGAGTACAAAAGGTACTTTTGAGAGCTGTTTTTCAAGTCCTGTCATGCCTGTTTCGACCCGAACGTGCAATTTGTGTAAAAGTCGTCGTTGCGGGCAGCAAACAAAACACAGTAAATCGTGACGTAATAAACAGGACTCCCGATGCAGAGTAGCATAAACGAGTCCTGTTTATTACGTCACGATTTACTGTGTTTTGTTTGCTGCCCGCAACGACGACTTTTACACAAATTGCACGTTCGGGTCGAAACAGGACCTGAAAAATAGCTCTCAAAAGTACCTTTTGTACTCATTTCATGACAGAAACAATAGTCGTTTTTATTTCATCACACCTTAGGCTACATATACCCAAAAAATGACGGAAATGTTTTCGAGCATTCCACAACCTCTTTAAGGCACCTTAGGCCAGAAAACTCTATTAGTGCCAGAAGTGGGAAAACATATAGAACGTCTTGAAACAGCGCCAACTGAATGTTTTTAAAGACATCACTATGTGAAGTAGCGCCTTCGCAACCCATGATATACCAAATTTTGAACGCAATCCAGCCCCTGATTTCGAAAAAGTGCTGGGACGTGTCGCAACCAGAGTTACGACGTGTGACACGTCGCAACTCGCGACACGTCGTACTATCCATTTCACGAAACTTGACAGTGTTGAGCGCGCTGTAAGTTCCTTGACAACGGCTTAAAACATGTCGCAAATAACGACTTGTCTAGTGGTCTTTGCAAATAACAAGCATCCTTTTCGTAGCCAGTTTTATGCCACCCAAATTACATAAATGAGACTATAATACCAAGACAATGTCAGTAAAGTTGTGAATGGAAAATGCATTGGAGTAATTATGAATAAGCCAGTTGGAATATTGCAGTTGAAATTTCAAAGTAGCTACACAGTTCACCGCAAGCTTTTTTCCCTTGAAGACTGCATCGCACATCCGCCATTTTGTTTTAGGTTTAAACAACTTTTTGAGAGGAGATCCGACAACTCTTTGTTGAACATCAGACAAATATTTACTGTACAATGAATACATACATAAAACAGTCACAGTGTTGTTCAATAAATACACCAATGACGTCGTGGGTTCGAGTCCCACCCGAGTGATTTTTTCCGACTTTCACTCGGGAGGTAACACACTGAGTATACAGTGTTTAAACGTCGGTGAAGGGCAAAACCTAACTTGATTTATATCACCCCGACGCAAAAATTCAATCTTATAACACCTATGACGTGTCGTACTTTCTACATGTTTTGTGAAATGAATTGCATGACGGGTTGCAGCTGCGATGCATCGTAGGGATACTACGTGTTGCAGCGCTGCGGCGCTACATAATAGGTCTCTATTTCTCATAAACTTTATTTACCTTTCTTCAATAATAGACATATTTTCCAGCACCTTCAGTACCTAATTGTTGGTAGATAGGTGCGCCATATAAGACTCCGGTATTATTATTATTATCGGTTAAAGTTTCATGAAATCGGGTGCTGGCCTGCTAAATGTTTAATCATGCAATGCTCACCTTACAGACTGCTTTGACAAACTCCAGAGCTGGGTTATTGAGAGGCAGATGTGAGCCTGGGAGTTGGGGGAACTCGGACGAAGCATCGCGGCCTGAGCTCTTATTCCCCGACACTTTCTTCTGAATTTTCTGGGTGATTCTAAACAAATCATGAAAGTCTCCTATTTAATGATCAATTAAGAAGATAATGATCGGGTCCAATTTTATAGTTGTGCTAACTGCAAGAACTGGACTTTTCATAATTAAAGAGGTTGTGGAATGCTCGAAGACATTTCCGTCATTTTTCGGGTATATGTACCCTAAGGTGTGATGAAATAAAAACGACTATTGTGTCTGTCATGAAATGAGTACAAAAGGTACTTATGAGAGCTGTTTTTCAGGTCCTGTTTCGACCCGAACGTGCAATTTGTGTAAAAGTCGTTGTTGGGGGCAGCAAACAAAACATAGTAAATCGTGACGTAATAAACAGGACTCGTTTATACTACGCTGCATCGGGAGTCCTGTTTATTACGTCACGATTTACTATGTTTTGTTTGCTGCTCCCAACGACGACTTTTACACAAATTGCACGTTCGGGTCGAAACAGGACCTGAAAAACAGCTCTCAAAAGTACCTTTTGTACTCATTTCATGACAGACACAATAGTCGTTTTTATTTCATCACACCTTAGGGTACATATACCCGAAAAATGACGGAAATGTCTTCGAGCATTCCACAACCTCTTTAAGCACTGATTGTCGTGATACGGCATGGGTCAATTGCAAAATAAAACCTCACTCACGCGAACAGCCGTTGGGATAGTTCTCCATCGATCAATCCCTGTGCGTAGGTCACCGTGTGGGGCGTCGTGGTTTCGTCGGCGGCCAACTGTGATTCTTGGGTTTGGCCGCGGCGACGGATCGGCGTGTTGCCGGGCGTGCTACGGCGATGCTCGTCCTGGGCGTTGCGATAGATGGCAAGGATGTAGCCTGCTACTATCATCTACATGCAGGTCAATAAAAACAAAGAAACGATTTTACCACAATGTGCACCTAATGTTTGAGTCGACCAGTGTCCATTGTTCAATTCTTCATCACTGATCACTGCTTCTTGTGTACAGCATACCTATACATTGGCTCTGACAGTCTTCAACATGAAACAGAAAGTTAATGTATTTGCTGGTTCATTATTAACTCTTTCAGTGCCAAACTCGTACATGTACGAGGTATATTTGTTAGTACAAAAGCGCCAACCTCGTACATGTACGAGGTAATGTTCGTACTTAAAATTGCCAAACCTCGTACATGTACGAGGTAGAGTAAATATGTTATCAAAAGGGGGCGCTCTCGCTCTTTCTAATGGTACCATTTTCATGCATGTACGACCTGTTTTTATTTTTTCATTCGAGTTCTTGCGAGAGGGCGCAGCACTAAATCTCGTATTTTCTGCAAAAAGTGCGGAATTCCCCTGTGTTCAGGCCAGTGTTTCAGGGTGTACCACTATGTTTGTGACTACTTTTGACTTTCCAATATATCAAGGATATACCAGAGAGCAATAACAACAAATTTAGTGAGTAAAACTTATTTCCTGTTTTTTTTAAAAGAATTTCGAACAATTAACAAAAACGCCAGAAGTTGGGCACTTTAGGGTTAAACTTTTCAAATTTCGCGGGCACTGAAAGAGTTAACAGCTTCAAACAAGCGGGTATTGATCCCAGATCTTGGGATGATCTAGCCGAGGGCAGGTTTCCAGACTTGAGTCCATCCGACAGGAAAAATGAGAGCTCACGAGACGGCGCCGTAAGACCCGCGCTCTCGCCAGACCACAAGGAACTGCATCACCAGTGTCCTTCATGCTCCCGGGTGTGTTACTCAAGGCTACACTGTTCTCTTCAGTCACTCTTGATTATGCAAATCTTATAACTAATTTTGTCATCACCTCCATCATGTTGCATAAACGACCCTCAGTTATGAGGCGTGCCAAGAGAGCGATTAACCCTCCTGCTATTTAAACAGTCACAGACAGTCAAAATTTCCATCCACTTTCCCTGCTGTACTTTTAACACAGGCTAGTCACCAGCAGCCAGACCATTATGCCAAGCAAGCACTGTGACTAGTCAAACTCAGTCAAAGACCACGGACGGACAAAGCAGGCAAGTTGTGGGCACAGCTGGCTTATCGATTACCCACAATCAAAGCAAAGCTGTATCAAGTTACATAAACAGTCACGGACACTTAATCCTGCTTCATGTAGGCTGGGAATTCTTAACTGTTGAAAACAGTCACTTGATTGATTTGGACTGAAAGGATAACTTGGCACAGAATGTATATTTGCATAGGAAGGTTAAAGGGAATATACAACATTTGCAAACATCGAAAAATAAAACTACCAAGTTTTTACGAAATACCTTACTAGGATGTTGGTAAGTGACAGTCTCAAGGATTCTGTAAAATTACGGCACCTGGTGTGAAGTCATTTTCAAGAAAATGGTATTTTTGTATACATTAGGAAAAACCTAACTATTGTTCAACTACCGCTCCATATTTACCATTTGTTTCAGAAAATGTGTTTGCTATTGGTTACATGTTCATGAATTGGTGCAGGCCAGCTAGACTGGTTCCCTTACCTTACAAATTTCCGGCATCTATAAATTGATCCATTTCATCTTTAGTGGAGTCAGGGAACCAGACTACTTGAACATTTTTGTTTTTCTTGTTTTTTTCGAGCATTTTCAGACACAAAACTTCAAACATGTCAGTGTAACAATATTTTGGTCTATTATACTAACCCCTCAACTAGTTCATTTCTGAAAATTACAGTGAAAGCCAATGATGTACATTCCCTTTAACAACCTCTATGACTAAATGTATTCAAGAAATCGTGAGCTTGTGCCCAAATTACATAACTACAGCTGGCATCGATACTTGCACCTATGGAAATGGCTGAATCCACTTCCCACAGACGCTTGTTTTACTCAACGCTGTACCCGAGTGATTCGGACGGGATCTAACTTACATTGAAGTTGTTCTGGCAGGCCGCTGCTGTCGGGAGGTAGTTCATAACGTTCCAATTCATCTCTATCTCATTCTGTTCACAAACGAAAATAACATCAAATGAAATGTTGTGTCATAAATAAGCCATTTGCGAGTAACCTATACCCTTTGGGATTTACATTACAATAACATCTGGTACACTGACTTGCTCAGAATGCTTGGCACATTTTAACTTTGAATTCTCCAGACCAAAGACACTGTTGCTAATCACATGATTCGGGGCAAGCTCTTGCTTAGTTACGTAAGAGACGCTCAGCATCAATACATCGCTCACAATGGGTGAAAATGGCACAAAGACACCAGACCATGCCAGAGCTGGGTGTTGCTAGCATAAGGCTTGCCCCGAATCACATGATGTAGTAACAGTCTCTTTGGTCGGGAGAATGCAAAGTTAAAATGTGCAAAGCATTGGATTAAGTCAGCGTTCCAGATTTTATTCAAATTTAACTCGCAAATGGCTTATTGGACTGGGGACAAAAATGGAAAAGCAGCGTAAGACTTGTTCCATATGGACTCCGTGTCCCAACAGTGGATAATAATAATAATGCTACATATTTTTTAAGTGCATATATCCACCAGTTATTGGTGCTCAAGTCGCTATATCATTATTACCCTGCTCATTGGGCCAATGAAGATTCCAAATACAATCTCAGCTCCCTTGGGAGTATACAGCTCGATGCTCCGATTTTGGCGCAAAGCAGCTAAAATCAACCTCAATAACCATCTCTGCCCTCACAGGTACCCATTTACTCCTGGGTGGGGAGAAGCAATGTGTGACAAAGTGCCTTGCCCAAGGGCACACGCATCATAGCCGCAGGCTGGACTCGAACGTCCAACTTGCAGAATAACCTGCAGACCATGAATTCAATGCTCCAGACCACTAGGCCACGGCACTCCACTTGATGGCGCTTTATGACCACTTGAAAAACCCAGTGGGAGAGGCACACACATGCGTGTTCTGTTTCCTACGCGTATTGCGTGAAGTTAGAACGACTCATTTTACCCTGAATGTGCTCAAACCCCACAGCATCTTAAGCCCAAGTGCCAGGGGCTGTCGGAAATGCTTTCAAATGTCCCTCCCATATCAAATCCTTTGTGGTCAAAAGGACCCTATGTAAACTGGCCAAAGCGCACAGACAGATGACCGTGGACACATAGAGATAAGAGCTCCCGGGCTCTGTGTATATACAGTAGCGCTGCCTAGCACGTGTACAATAAACAGACCCTACGCACTGAGCCATTGAGCAACGGCAAATTTTATTGGAGTTTAGACGTACAATTCTTTAGTAAATGAATACACGCAAGCCTAAACCTTAACCAATCACAATAAGGGTTATATTGTTGGAAAGCTGACGAGACGAAGAAAAATGACCCGAGAGATCTAAGCTCCCAGGTGGCGCTATTTAACGTTAAGATGATGTTAATGGACCAGTTCTTGGCTGAACGCGTGGTTTACACACAAAACAGGGAGATTTTTGACTGAAAATGCAATGTTTAACATCAATTCGCGAGTGAAACTCAGTGTTTTATTCAGTTTTCCTTTCATTTTCTGAAAGAGTATATTGTTAGGGTCACACTGTAGTGAGATCTAAGGTATACCCTGTGGAATAATGAAGTGGTGGCGACAGATGTGAAAAAGGCCCGTTTTTAATGATTTTTTCACCGCGTTCTCTCATAGAGTTTGCACATAAAAACCGGCCCGGTGGGTTAGTTCCCCAAAGGAATTCATATGCTGTGGTCTCCCCCAACTCCCCTTTCGTAACCATTGAGGGGGTACTTGTGCACTGAGTCCGTAGACTTTTTTTTGTAGAATCTCGCTGCAGTTTCAATTTGTTGGGCTTTATAGTATCACCTCCTGATCCTCGCCGTTGGGCGTCAAACTCTCCGACTCCTCCTCTTCCTCAAGGTCATGTGACTCCTCGCCGGCTTCTTGGTTCAGTAGGGACTTGGGCAGTTGACCTTTGACCCCACCATGGTTTGTCTGCAAAGTGACAGAGTAGGGTCAATAAAATGATTAATGGTCCGATTTTGGATAAACTGTTGTTTCCAAATGAATAAATAAATGAATCCATGAATTTAGAGAAACCATCAAGTGCATGCCAGAATTTTGGTGGGTTCAAGAAATGCGTAACCCCCCCCCCCCCCCCCCACCTGGGAAATGGTCAAAATAACCCGACCCTTTTAGAGTTAGCAACATTTTAGGCCAAAAAAAAAAGTCTCCGGTTTCTGGTATGGAGCTTGCCCAAAAAGTGGTGCGGCGACGCGGCTTTTTTTTTTTTTTACCTGTTTATTTGGCTTCAAATGTCGGCTGATGACTGCAAATGGTGCCCGACTAAACTTAGTGCAAATATATGGGAGTCCAAAGAAGGCCACATAAAGCTTATTCTCGATCATAACCCCATCTAAAAACACGTTAAAATTGTGCAGCAGCAGGATTCCAGTCAAACCAGTGAGTTTGGCGGTTTTGAGACATCATCTTTCATTGAAAAAAAAACTGTTTCATTTTGCCGACGCGCATGGCTACGGCGACGCGCGCGCATACCAGAAACCGGAGACTTTTTTTTTTTGGCCTTATAAACCTTTTTCTTTAATCAGCAGCCCTGAATAGTCTGGTTTTGTTTGGAAAACACATCACATAATATGCTTTACTAATATTAGCTTGACTAATTCTACCCACGGGATCAAGCCACATCAGGAGTTCCCAGCACTGTTTGTAGGTCAGGTCAATCCCGTGGAACAGGTCCCGCGACTTGATGCTGTTGGTGATGTAGTCCACGTAGGCCACGCCGTCGATCACGCGACGCTTCTTGGTGCAGACCAGGACGCGGTTGAAGTTGGCGTGGACGATGGTCGCGCCCAGGCGCTTGAACTCTGCGATCAGAAGCATGAACATCTTCTTCATGAGGTTGTGGAGGGTGCGGCGGAGGGCCGGGTCGTATAGGAGGGCGGAGGGGGAACGCAACCATCTGTGATGGTCAACAGAAAAAGAGAATTAGATTGAGTTTTATTTCTAAAATGCGATAAATGCCGTTTTGGTACCTTTTAGAATCCTGCTCTCTCTCCTGGCTGTCCAAAGTCAGTTTTGACTGCTTTTATACAGGGCGAGTAAAAAAAAAAAAAAACCCCGTTCATAAGCTTTCTTTTAGTACAAGAATCATTCAAATCACTCATGCACTTTTCAAGTTACAGAACTTTTAACATAACCACCGTTTAAGGTTCTGTCGGATCATAAAAAAAGTTCAGTGTTCTTTCAGCAAAACAAGAACAAATCACATAGGGATGTGTGTAAATTGTTTTCGTTTTGCTGAAAGAACGCACACTTTTTTTTATGATCCGTGGACAGAACTTTAAAACGGTGGTTGTGTTTAAAACTCCGTAACTTAAAAAGTACATGAGTGATTAAATTATTCTGGTACTAAAAGAAAGCTTTTGAATTGGGCTTTCATGTCCTAGATTTTGAAAGTGCTACATGCAGAACTTCAATAAAACAATAGTCCCGACATTTTAAATCTGATCGTCTCATGATAACATCATTTATATGTGGTATGGTTACGTGGGAAAAAAAAGGATGATGCCAGCTGGGTCAAGAGGTGTACCAAAATAGTCGAGGGTGGGCCCACGAGGGTGGGCCCACACGCGTTGGCCGACCGCGCAAGACGTGGCAGAGCTCTGCGACAGATGATATGCAACTGCTTGGAGTCGATGCGAGGGAAGCGACGGACAGGGCCAAGTGGAGAGGAGCCATAGGAGAAAGCAGGCCAACCCAGAACAGACTGGACAATGGCCTTAAATACGACGATGATAAAGACCTCTGGGGAATGTTGTTAGCTACATTTTGATACCTGGTTTGCTACCAGAGACTGTAAATCGTCCATCATTGACAACAGTTTATGATAAATGATGCAGTTTGAAAAGCTGCAAATTTAAAGAGCCGCGAGTGGAAATTGCTGCGTGACAATGTCACACTGCCCGAAACGAATTGCAGGGAATACCGATTGCACAGTGCTTGCATACATGGGAGCACGTGAATTGAATTACCCGCGCTTTGTTCGGGCACTGTGCAGTCGATAGGGGCCAATTACAAGCATGTTTGGTTACGTTTAACAATTTCTCCTTGCATAATCTGTAGAGAGGAGGTAAAATCTGAGCAGGGCGGCAAAACTTGAGCACAGTAGCATAAAATGTTAGCAGAACTCCCTGCTAATGGACACCATGAAGTGAACTTGAGTGTGAAATGTTCATAATTACCGATAGAAGTGCACGATCTGATGATCCGCAAAGACATTGCTATAGGTTGTGACATCGCGCAGCCATCCATGCACCATGCTCTTCATGATTCTAAAATGAAAATTAGAATGAAATTTTTTTTTCACATTACACACAGCTAGAGGAATACATAATTGTTTTAATGGCAAATAGTTAGGGGGAAAATGTAAATTTTTTGAATAGTTTCTTCCTAAAAAATATGGTAGTTTTTTGGGGGAGACAATGTTGCAACCTGACGCCACTTTTTTCTTCATATATCATCTCAATGAAGGTTAGTCTTTGCAAAAATGATGATAAGGCATGAATCTGGGATTGAGAAACATTTCCAATTTTGTTAGGAAATACTAATAATTTTCTTGACTCTCCATAGACTTTGTACACAACCGCTGAAGTGACGTCAGGTTGCAACATTTTTTCCCTTTTTTTTTTTAGGACGGTTTGGGTGACTGTTATCTCTATGCCTTTTATCTCCTTCCTAAGCTAGTGTATATAAAAATGACTTCATCACCAATTTTCCCTAAAAATTTTTAAAAAGAAAGGATAGGAAATAGAACGCTGCTGCAACTGCTTTGCAACTAGAGCAACCTGTAAAACAAGAGGGCCTGAGTCTTTGATCCTAGCAGAAGTTTTCTCGGACTTACGCATTGCCCAACCTTTGTGAAATGTGTCACAACCCTTATGCAAAACTTAGGCACTCAAATGTGGAGTTAAGCTATTGCGAAAAGACCTATAACTGTTGCAATTTAATGGAAGTGTGGCAGGGCCAAGTTTTAGTTGCAAACTTGTATGTGTTTATAGTATTTTAAATAGGAGTAGCTCCTAGAAAATAATTTTAGTATTACTTTAGATGCCCCCCCCCCTTGTTGGTAGTGTGCCCCCCCCCCCCCCCCCCCCCCGTTTGTTTATTTTAGCCCACATGTTACCCCTATCAATCCTGCCACATGGTCAAGCCACTTCAGTTCAGGCAGCAGATCAACAGAGACAACTTCATGTTCCCCCTAACTGGAGTGCATGTGTCCTGTTTGAACTCTGTCTGCTCGAGTCATTTGATTTTATTCCTGCTTGAGTGTTCTTTGAAAGATCCACTATTCACACTGTGTTGGTTTCATGCTTTAGTCCTTTTAAGTCTTTGTTTTAGTAAGTCTTTGCTTTTAGTTATTTTAGGTTTCATTTTTATGTTTTAGGGTTTTAGTTTTGTAGATTTTAGGTTTTATTCTTTGCTTTTATTTTCTGGTGTTTGGTTAAGGTTTTAGTGAATAAATTCTTTTTGGTCCTTTTTGGTTTGAAATCTAGAATTTGCGTCTGTGTCTCTATTAATTCAATTTCCTCGTGACTTTTCCTTTCAAAGATCCCGAGTTAAGTTTAGTTGTAGTAGTTTTAGTGCGATTCCCCATGGTGAGTCAGTTTTCACGGTTACAGAAGCACAACCGAAGACCTACCTGAATGCGACCGAGCACAGGGCAGTCTCGTCGTAGCTTGAGAGCAACGTTGCTGCGCCGGCGTTACCAGTCACCATGTCTTCCAGGGAGATCTGTGGGGTGGCGTCAAAGGCAATGCTGCCAGCACTACCCTCCATCTCATTGATGTGATGAGACTAATAATGTGTGAAATAAACAGTTAATGATAAAATAAATTCTTTAATTGGGCGGTCCAATTGTGCATATGCAGCACTATAAGGTGTAGGTACCACTTTAGTTTCATTCATAAATACACCAAGACAGCCAAGGACCCACAAAGCACACCAACTTCAACCTCGTCTCCAGGTACGCGTCGAACAGTACGCGCCCATCACTACCTGCTCTCTCAAACTGGTATTGGATCATTTGCATGTGCAAGATTTTTGCACACGTATGCAAATGAGGAACAGTCTGGTGCCATGGATATGCGTTACATTAGCGTTTGTTTGTGTATGCAGTGTCTGGGGTAAAAACAGAGTCAATTCGTCGCAGCGCGAGCACGGCGTGAGTAACGAAAGCACGATTTTTTATAAAATTAAACTGTTACGATCTTATCGAGACAACATGCAGTATCATATTTCATATTAACATGAGCAAATTGGAAAGGAAATTAGTATTTTCGAGAAGGCGTGGACGAATGATCGCGAAAACACGTACTGCACGTTGTGAATAATAGCACCAAGTACACGATAAAAATCCATTACTAGCCAATTGCGGTATCGAATCAGGACACAGGAAGAAAGTTTCCTATCCAGGAAAATAAGTTGGAAATAAAGTGAGCACTGGGGACGTGGTTGCACCAACTTGGTCATCACTGAAATGTTTTTTTTTACAACAAGAGGTAACCGGCCACGAAAAATGTGATGTTTTATCGCGTGTGCCTGATGGTCTTTTTTTTTTGTGCCAGCATTTTTTTTGCGTGCGCGCGTAACGCGTCTGGGTAGTAGCCACACGCGCCTACACTAAAGTCGAATAATTGGTTGAAATTTTGCTATGGGCCCCGTGCGCCGAGGAAAGAGAGCGCACTTTTACCTAGCAACAACGTCCCAGATATGGGCGGGACAGTTCGCTGGTTGACGCGCACCGTTCTTGTGTGTGACGGACGTACACCAGGGGATTTGTACTATGTACACGCAGTGGCCGCGCTTCACGACAAATGAATTGCAGTCAGGCAAGATGGCGTCGGTCAGTCACCCCCTACTGTACTTTCTTTGCTGGTGAGGGGGTACTTGTGAATGGAGCGGATACCCCATACAGGTAGCAAAAATCGAGAAATAGAGAAAAACATGAGAAATTCCTGACAAGTTGGAAAAGGTCTCGTGGCTTTGCCACTCTTGTGTGTGGTCTCCGCTCCAGTTGCTTCACGGTTCGCCGCTCCGTCCAATGATGCCGGTTAAAGCCACGATGGCCTTGGCGTAAGGCTAAACCTGGGGTGGCACTGGGTTCACCCAGGGTTGAGTTCAACCTGGGTTGAGAGGCTCTAGTGTGAAATGGCCTCATATACTGACCTGCAGTAGTGTATTGACTGCCAGGCTAGCCATATCAAGCTCCACACAGATGGTATGATAACAGCCAGACTGGTTCACTTCAATGCTGGAACTCTCCTCAAACTCAGTCACCAGCCTGCGGGAACCAAGGAAAAGGGATGAGTCAGGAACCAGACTTGTGGTTGATCACAAGTCAATCAGGCCTTCTGGCAAAATGAGACAGAACTGAGCAGTGGTCGAAATGGGGATTTTCAGGAAAGAGAATAGAATTTTCCTTACAGTACTCTTCGTTGCACTTCAATCGGCCATATCGTTGACAAGTTACGGCTGTTTTAAGTTCGCATTATATCGACGTGTCAAAAAAGTAAAATACTAAGAAAAAGCCTTTAAATTTTTGAGTTTTGTATTTGTGAAAATAAAAGATGACAATTGTTTTTCCTTGGAAACATTTTTATTCCACAATTTTCATACTATTTCTTGAAACTTTGTGTAGTAGACATATCAAAGATTAGAAATATCAATCAATCTGAAAATCGAAAAAATATGTCACCCCTATTCATTTTTCCCCCCTCCACTACGGCCTGTGCCCAGTTCCATCTCTTTTTTGCCAGAACGACTCATGTATCATCAACCCCAAAATTAACCAAGGTTTCAGCTCAATGTATTCACAAAAAGTGTGACAAATACACAGAGAAACAAAATCATCAATTTCAGGTTAACATTTCTTGAAAAATTTACCAGGCCAAACGGAACACAGACAAACAGAGAGAGGGACGGACGAACCAACCTGCTATCGTCGGCCTCCCTGCCTCCAAGATCCGGCCGCTCCGTGGGCGACGCCCACATCACATGACTGTGCTTCTGCAGGTGTCTAGCGTAGAACAGATCCGCGCCAAAGATGCCAGTGTCCTCTGGTAGATTACCGACGGGGACATGGAAATAGCGACTCTGCTCGAGGTAGCTCTGTAATTGCGGAGATTTGGAAATGGGTCATCCTATAAATTTAGGGGCCAAAGTGTGACATTTTCTCCATCCCTGTTACCTCTGGACTTTGAAATTTGCCATTCAAATATCACTAAGAATGACTTCAAACAAATTTGTTATTTACAAGTTAGAGGTAAACTTTTGATGACAACACTAGAGAATTTTGTACCTGTAATTTTTGACCGAAACTCCGGGCTTCATCAGCAGGATGACCTGGATGTTGCATACTTGACCTTACGGACACGTGAACCCAACATCGCGTGATAGACTCATGGGAGTTTGTATCCCCCCCCCCCCCCCCCCGTCCCGGTTTGGAGAAGGTCTGAAGGCTCTGATGCAGACTGCTTCCTTCACTCCCCTTTCGAAGTCTAAGATGTTTACTTTAGATATGTCTACGTGATGGCCTGGTGATTCTATATGGATATGTTGAGAAACCTCCGAAGTGGACGAACTGGGGCAACGGTACTCCAAAAAACTAGTCTTGAGGGGCCTCTCGGTCTCTGCCTTGCCTGGTCTGTCCTTGATAAAGGATTTGGTAGATCACTCCAGTGTGGTCCTTCTTGGCTGTTTTATCCTTTGGTGATACGAGGAGGCAGCCTACATCAGAGCCTTCAAACCTTCTCTAAACCGGGTCAGGGGGTACGAAATTCTCTAGCGTTGTGATCAAAAGTTTACCTCTAAATTGTATCTACCAACACAGATGAACTTTTATGCTAAAATGTGTTCTTTGTTGGGTAGGTAGTTTGATAAATCATAATCACTCTTGGAGGATGACAGCATTAAAGAGTACGTCCAGAATTTTGAAATCGTAGACGTCAGATGTAACCGGGACACGACATCTGTAGAAAATGACCCAGCTAACAATAACGCTAACATTTGCGAAAACGGAACACCCTCCAGATGTGAACCTCTGCTATCTGAACTGGCCAAGCAAGGCACCATGCTACCCTGACCCAAGAAACCACATACCAAAAGCAGATAGTCCACATTGAGATAGTGTTGAAGAAGCCGTCTGGAACCCTGCCTCTGCCAGTCCAGCACACTGTAGAGATTCTCGCTGTCGTTGACGTGGAGACGAACCATCGGGAAATCGTCCAGCATCGGAATGTGTCTGGCAAGCTCCATGTTGTCTACATTTATGAGAACAGGCACAAATTTACAAATGTAAGTCTCTTGCTTGGACAAAATAATATTAACCATTTCTTCATTCCTAGGTAAGGTTAAAGTCAAGCATTGTACAAGAAAATATTCTGTTAGGAGGGGATAATTTTGTGATGGAGCAGTTAACCAATTTGTGGCTTAAAATCGGTCGGGGGCCTCGCCGTAGATAATGGCCCAAGTCAAAGGGTATGTGGGTTTTCCTGTCAAAATCCATAAAAAGTAAAAAAGTGAGTAACTTCCAACGATTGTACCATCAGGGTTTCAAATTAGCATTAGCCTGCTAGCCAAATGCTAGTCAAAACAGCAGTAGGCTAGTCAAACTATTCCTTAAGTAGCCTGGCTGGCGAGTCAAAAAAATATTGGGATACTGCAAAGATGGAAGGATAGGAAGAAATAAATAAATTGAATTCAGAAGTCAAACCTGTATCAATTTGTGTATAATTTTATCAACTGTTTTAAAGGGTTGAATGATAAGATCTGTTTATTAAAAACACTGACAAAATTGCCTCAGAATAGATGAGAAATCAGTTGGAAATGGGTAAAAACGAATTTATTCAGGCTCGTGTGGATCACTTTTTAATACAGTTCTGATCACCGGTCATTTTAGATTTGTAAATGAAAAAAAAACACCTTCAAGTTTGTTCAAAAATAAAATTGTCCGCCACAAATTTGTTTCATAAAGTTTATGCTTGAACGAGTGATCAAGAACCACGAGTTCACACGGAAGTTTTCGGAAGTGAGAGGTCTCTTTCACGTCATGCGTTTTTCAGTTTCCATAAAATTCCGAGGGTGATTTTTTTAAAGAAATCAATCGCAAACTATTTCCTGAAAACTCTGGGTTAGGGTTATTTTTTGTCTGAAATTTTAAGGGATAACGGAAAAGTATACACACGTGTATGGTGCCAATATGTTGTTTACAATTTGGGAAAAGAAACCTGAAGAGAAGGCAACTCACCCATAGGGGACTGAACAGCGATAAACGTTGGTCCTTTCCTCTCATCTTTGTACGAGGACAGCAGACGATTGATGGCTCGGTAGACCTGGGGTAGTGAAACAAATGATAATTACTATACCTCATACATATTCATGAGCGAGAGCCTAATTCTTACTGGTCCATTCACCATCATGTGGCAGCCGCTAGTTTTGCTATTTACTAAGCACACAGGAGGATTCACAAATGCGTAGTAGACTATCGCATGGGTTACCTGCGCAATATTATACAAATAATGAATGTTTATGAGTGCAATGGTGAGAATATTTTCATGAGCGGAATGGAACATTCCAAGTTTCACCGAATGAAAATTTTCTCACTATTGCACGAATGCAAAACTCAAACCATTAACAATATGAAAGTTAATATGAAGTTAACCCTTTCTTTACCATGGGCGACTTTTGTCGACAAGAAGAACCCCCCTGCTGGTTCCCATGGGCGACTTTAGTCGACCAGGAAACCACACACAGAACACCCTCAACACAGATACATTCACTACTTTTCAGAAAGGCGGCATGTTGATGTGTTTGGCCGTCCATACAACAACCATATACTAGCTGAAAGAGTGTTTTCGGATCGTTCTAATGGTGTAGTTTATTCATAGTGTTGCCATTACAAAAAAATGAGAAAAGTGCTTCAGAAGTATCCACGCACAAATTGAGGTATGGAGTGCCATTTGGTCATGTGGTGAAATGGCTTGCAGTTTGATAAATGGAACCAGATGAACAAACAGGCATAACTTTCTTATATTTACACATATGGACTTCATTTTTACATCACATAAAAGAGTAAGGTTCAAGGAACAAACTTTACACACAACACCTATGATTTAAATCACTCCTTGGCAGTGAAAATCTGGGTTGAAAAAAGCGAGTTTTGGACTTGCGGTCATTTTGTTCACGCTCTAGTGATTTCCGCATGACTGAGCAAACAATTTGGTCCTGGGGAGAGCCAGGTCAATAAACAATGTGGTAATGAAAGGGTTAACACTATGCATACTGATCAAAACATAGACAGTTATTTCGGCTTTCATACCTTCGTCATGTCTTTTTCCACTTGCACTTCAAAGTTGTGCATTTCTGGGGGCAGGAATTCCTCCTCCGTCCCACGAGCAATTCTGTCGACAAAAAGATCATAAAACTTAATCCGATTTTATCCCACTTAGAGCTCAAATGTTCGGCGTTCTGGCAAAATAAGACGGAACTGGGCATAGGCTACAGTGGAGGACAATGCAAAAAACTGAATAGGGTGATTTTTTTTTTTTGATTTTCAGATGTATTGATATTTGTAACCTTTGATATGTCTACCACACACGTTTTAAAGAAATAATATCAAAATCGTGGAATGAAAGTGTTTTTAAGGAAAACCAATTGCCATCTTTCATTTGCATGACTTCAAGACTCCAAACTTTTAAAGGCCTTTTTCTCAGTATTTTCATTTTTGACATGTTGATAAGTGCAAATTTCAAACAGCCATAACTTGTCAACAGAATGTCCGATTGAAGTGCAACAAACAGTATTGCAAGGAGAATTTTATTCTCTATCCTAATACCCGCAAACCCTCATTCCGATCTCTGCCCAGTTCTGTCTCATTTTGCCAGAAGGCAAATGACTAAAAATCATGAAAACTGATATAGAAATACGCACGCCTTTTGGCAGTAACAGTGGCAACATTGCTAGTATCGTGATTTTGGGCGTGATCCCTGGCTACATGGCATATACGGGTTTATGGCTTCTGACTAGCGCCCCTTGAACAAAGACATTGACAAAATGGGGAACCGCCAACATAGGGCTGGATAGCTCAGTTGGTAGAGCATCGGAACGGCAATCCAGGGGTCGCAGGTTCAAACCCCGTTCCAGTCAATTTCTTTGTTGTTCTTTATAATAATTATAACCTAGTCAGTTTCCCATATTTGAGAAAATAAAAACACTGTGACTTACTTGGCTTGTCGTTCTGTCTGATACATGGATGTCAGGTTAGGCATCTGGTTGGTGCGGACCGTATCAACGGCAAATATCGTGGCCTTGGGTGAATTTGAGAAGAACAGGCCAAACATTGCCTTGGACCCTCTGAAAACAAACAACAAGACCGCAAAATGTTGCTCGTGATTGGCTTGTGATTTTACTTGTGATTGGCTGAAATAGGGAGTCAGGTTGGGGCAGTGGTTCTTTCCTCGCCTTTCACCTCTGTGGCTAGGGTTTGATTCCTGCCCTGGTCCACATGTGGATTGGGTTTTCAGTCCCTACCTGATTCTGTGGATTTTCCCCTGAATTTTCTTCTGGGATTTTCCTCTCATCTCTGACTGGATATGTCTTCAATTATTTTCTCTACAAGTTTCTTCAGGTTTGTGAGCTACAGTGTCAAGGGCATTTTTTTAACCAGAAATAAATAATAATTATGTTCAAGAAAGCTGGACAAGGTTAAAAAACAGTGTTTGTGGTCAAAAGTCTATAACTGGAAAAGTGTATGAGCTATTAGAATGATTCTTTCACTAAAAGAAAGCTTATTAATTGGGCTTTCATATCCTAGATTTGGAAAACGCTACATGCAGAAAATCTTTTAAAAACATAGGTGGCACCATTTGGGTTTCTTTTTTTTTTTAGTCGCCCTGTATAACTCATCTCTGTCTGTGTGCCTACCAAGTATCAACCTAATTTTGACAATAGTTGTGTAGTTATACTCGGACTCATTAACCCTAAAAGGGCCGGGTTATTTTGACCAGCTCTCAGCTCTCGGCCATTGAGTGACGAAGAATTTTGAAACTCAGTAAATGCATAGAGCAACTCATAATGAACATATCCATGAAATCTCATGACTATAGGTCAAAGGGTTTTGAAATTATGGCTAATTTATTATTCATTTGTACGAATGGTAATTAATTCTGCTCTGTGTTCACGATGTATATGGGAAAATTAAGTTTTCATGGCGCATAGCGCCGGAAAATTGTTCGCTGCGCAGCAACCCGTGGTCCGATTTTTATGTTTTGGTATCAAAAAATGCCTAAGGCTCGAGGCTTAAAAGTAATAACAGCTCGGGTAACGAAAAAAAAGTTTTTCAAGGCTATCGCGGAAAAAGTTGAGGGGGGGGGGATTCTTTCAGGGTTAATAGATGACACTCAACACGTCCCTGTCTATGTGCCTACCAAGTATCAACCTAATTTTGACAATAGTTGTGTAAAGATAGGGCTTCAAAGTATGCACCTTTAATGTGATGTATGTAACTTGACACCAGTAACATTAATAATGATTATAACTCAGACTTACACAACGTTATGGTAGAGATATATCCTGCGTAGACTCCCTGGCTGTAGATAGGAGAACTGGGCCAACGTCTTGAACTGGAGCTGACCAATGTCAAACGTTTCCAACTCCTTCAATATGAAGAAATAATACACATATCAACCTGGGAATTCTTGCTGTCAAGTGTTTGTTTAAAAACTAAAACTTTGAGCAAAGTGTACTATGCCATAAGATCAGTAGCACTGTGACAAATGTAAGACGTATGTGGAGTGCTGTGGCCTCATGGTCTGGAACACTGAATTCTTGGTCTGCGGGTAATTCTGCAGGTTGTGGGTTCGAGTCCAACCTGGGGTTGTAGTGTGTGTAAACTTAGAGGTAAGATGTTACTCTAAGGCGTAAATTGCATTTTCGCAAGCGTCATGAATGTGAGAATCTGTTTTGTTTTTCCATGTAGCATGGTTTTCATTATATAAAATCTCCACAAATTACATTCAAAAACTTTCTTATTCATTGTCTGAGAAGTTGCTAAGTTATATGCAAAGTTGGTTATGGGTACTTGATCCCATAATCTGGAACTGGTTCCTGACATCAGTGGGTCGAGTACTAGGGTACCCGGTTCCAATACACAGCCCTATTATAATCCCATTATCTTATCTTGAAAAGCATTAGTGTGAGGTTTGATGCCAATGAGCTTAGAATGATATACTCTGGCTATGTTAGACCCAACCTCGAATAACCAGATGCTATTTGGCATTCTAGTATTACTACGGAACAATCCAATCAGTTAGAGGCCATCCAAAAACGGGCTTGTAGAATCATACTGGGTGATAGGTCTGGGAATAATAAAGATGACTTGCAATGCTGTAATCTGGATTCCCTATCTGATAGGAGGTTGCAGCATTGCTATAATTTCGCTAAAGGGCTCAAAATCAATCCCCGCACTAGCTCCCTCGTTCCCCCAACAGAGAGTCATGGTAGATGTCTAAGGGCAAACAGTACGATTTCGCCAGCAAAAACCAGCAAGAACTAACAGGTTTAACAAAAGCCCACTTCCCTTTTTTATCGACAGTTTAAATAATTAGGTTATCTCCCACTTATCCAAATTTAAGAATAACTATTTTTACTTCTTCAGTGCGTGTATAAAGGTATTTATCATTCTTATCGTTTTTGTCTTAAATATTTTAATATCCACTGTTTTATTTCATATATTCGTATTTTTATTTTACTACCAATGTTAAATGTATATTGCATGTAAAAAGTAAAGTCTTTCGCAAGCCAATGTGGCTCATCAGGCCGGGGTTTATCTACGGTTTCAGTAGCATGAAACGACTGAGAATATTTCTACTCCCCCTGGATGGGATGCCAGTCCATCGCAGGTTACTCCCCAGCTAATGCCGGTACCCATTTATACTCCTGGGTGGAGAGGGGCAAGTGGGGGTGAAGTGGCTTGCCCAAGGACACAACATATGACCAGCAGCTGGATTCGAACCCCTGACCCTCTGATCATGAGTCATGAACCCTAACCACTAGGCCACACACTCCCCATATTGCATGTACCACACTTTTAATTTTGCCTCAGGGCCACGATTGGTGTGAAAAGAAATGTCTAAATCTAAATCCTCTACTCTATTCTCTACCTTGCCAGCGAGGAATCTTGCGTTGTCCTTGTTCACCATGCAGATGCAGCCCAGCTTGACCAAGGCACGGAACTCCAGTGGCACTTGGGTCTCGTAGACACCCTCGATCTCTGGTGCCGAGAGGTCTGCATTGAGCTCGCTGAGGGTAAAGGAGAATTTGGAGTTAGAACCAGGGATTCATGTAGTCGAGTCCATCACAAGTCCAGTTATAAGTCACAAGTCCGGTAACAAGTAAGCACCGTCGATATCAGAATTTTCAATAATCCATATCAGAAATCCAATATCGAAAATATTTGATATATCGAATATCCCATGTAAAAATTATAGACCATAAAGATGACACTTTGATAACAATATAAAACAAAACAATTTAAGTGTCAATTTTCCACGGTTTTCTCTGGACCATATTGCTCAAACTTTTTGAAAAAATCTCAGCACTGAGAGTTTGTCCAGAACGGGCGGTTTCTTTTCAACTTTTCCATTGGGGAGACCATGAATTCCATCAACGCTCCTTGGCATTTCGCGATGTTTTTATTTTGAGTCACAAGCACAAGTTGCCGCCAGGTTTGATTTTATTATACAGCAAACGTTAAACACAAAGTAAAAGCACAAACGGGAGATTTATTTTGACGATAATCTGAGGCATTTTCGCTATCGCATAATCGGTGATATCAATATTAAAATGATATATCGATGGTAAGTTACAAGTAACATGTAACACTGGATGACCAAGAACAAAGAAATGCCTTTGTCATAGTTCATTAGAATAAGCTTGTGTGTTGATCTGGGACTGGACTACATTTCATTTTACTTCACTTTCACTTTATTTTCCATATAAAGTACAAATTTGGTTGAACGTCGGTCACTATTTAACCATAACACATGTGGATCGCTGGTTTGAACCTGGTTGGGTCTGTAATTGTTTTCTACTCATTGGATGTCACATTATCAATGTTGTATCACATTCACTTCTCCTACAGTCTCTAAAGCCACCACTGTGGTAGAGGTTGCATGCAGGCAATAGCTTGAAAAGCATTAGTGTGAGATATGCTCAGAATTTTCTGGGTAGCGCTGCCAAAGTTCCTAAGACATGATGTGATTCATCTCATTGATAGCAACCTCTATCACTGCAGCAGATTTGCTGTGCTTGTCAAGGAACGGCTGTGTTAAAGGAAAACATCAAAAACTAGACGCAGACCAACACTTTTTAAACACAGTACAAAATCATTCTTAACACCACATGTTTTCTTAATCAGACGAGAGTTTGAGAATAACATGAAGTAAAAATATGTAAGGAATTGTAATTAAGACACAAGGCAACATACTTTGAGTGCTCTTGGAAGATGTCCTCAGGCACCACGTACTCGTACAGATTCAGTGATGGATTGGAACGTGGCAGGGCTCTGTTGACTTTCTTCCACACTACAAATAGAAACGGACAAAAAACATCCACAAAAATTCAAGCCAGAATGTACACAGGTGTGATGACACAATGTAAAATAACCACAGTGTTCCAAAACAGCCTGTTATTAAACTGAAATACCATGACAAAATTTGGTTTCATGACCTTTAAAGTTATAGAGCAGCACACATTTGGTATACATGGTGAAAACTGTACTTGTTCAGAACATGTAAATCCATCCAAGTCTGGTAAAAACTAAATCACAAGTTGAGTCATTTGACAAGCATTTGACTTGACTCAGTGCCCCCCATAAAAAAAACTGGTGATCCCCCCATGAAATAGTCCAAGCTACACCACTGCTCAATCAGAGGGTTCGAATCCAACTGATGGCCATATGCTGTGTCCTTAGGCAAGCCACTTCACCCCACTTGCCTCTCTCCACCCAGGAGTATAAATGGGTATCGGCATTAGCTGGGGAGTAACCTGCGATGGACTAGCATCCCGTCCAGGGGGAGTAGAAAGATTCTCAGTTGTTTCATGCTACTGAAACTGGAGTTAAGCGCCGACCTGATGGGCCACATTGGCTCGTGACAGACTGAAACAAGTCAGGTGTGTTTACAAACACAAATGCCCCGCAACCGTGACTGTTCCCATGACATAACACCACTCTTTTAACATCAACTTACATGTACCTTGGTCACATGGAATGTTCATTGACAGCATTAGTGTCTTCTGTAGGTTTTATATGAATTAATCCCTAATCCCTATGATCTCAGAATAAATACAAGATTTCGATTGTTTTAGCCACTGTGACCTTGACCCTTGACCTTTTGGCCCCAAATGCAAAAGGCTTCTTAGGATTACCAAGGACAATCCACAAACCAAATTTGAAGTTCATATGTAAAGTATTTCTCAAGTTATCGCGCTGACAAAATTTCTATTGTTTCAGCCACTGTGACCTTGACCCTTGACCTTTCGGCCCCAAATGCAATAGGCCTCTTAGGATTGCCAAGGACAATCCACAAACCAAATTTGAAGTTCATATGTAAAGTATATCTCAAGTTATCACGCTGACAAAATTTCTTTTGTTTTAGCCACTGTGACCTTGACCCTTGACCTTTCGGCCCCAAATGCAAAAGGCTTCTCAGGATTGCCAAGGACAATCCACAAACCAAATTTGAAGTTCATATGTAAAGTATTTCTCAAGTTATCGCGCTGACAAAATTTCTATTGTTTCAGCCACTGTGACCTTGACCCTTGACCTTTCGGCCCCAAATGCAATAGGCCTCTTAGGATTACCAAGAACAATACACAGACCAAATTTGAAGTTCATATGTTAAGTATTTCTCAAGTTATCGTGCTGACAAGATTTGTCCGGACACACACACCCACCCACCCACCCATACTTGTTTCACATGACTAGTGTGGACTTTCCATTGCTTTCGTGTAGTTAAGAAAAACCAGTGAAAAAACTCATTTTTCTCAAACTGTGAAAACTCTTTCAACCCAATTTTTTTTCTATGATTCCCTTTAGTGTTTCTCTTCATTCTGCTACAGATAAACCTAACCCAAAAATGCCTCTAAACCTGTTTTCCAGAAATGGGGAAACACTGTGTGGACGTGGGGTAAGTCCACACAACGTCGGTGCTACCTACATTATGTGGACGTCTTTTGTTCGGAAGTCCACACTGCGTATGTAAGACAAACTCACCCACCCACACACACACCCACACACACACCCACCCACCCACCCACCCACCCACCCACGGAAGGACAAGGCGGAAACAGTATGCCCCTTCGGCTTCGCCGCGGGGCATAAAAAGACATGCCATGAATTTGTGATGACTTGAGACGGACTTGTATTAGTCTGGACTAGAGCATAAAGCCTGGTTCATACTCGGCGCGAAAGCAAAAGCAAACGCGAATATGTGACGTCGTGGCAAGTATTCGGGATGCAAATTAGTAAAAGTTGAACATATTTCAACTCGGGCGAATTTCACGGCGAATGTTTCATGACGTCAAACACTTCGCATTCGCATTCGCGTGAAGTATGAACCGGGCTTTAGAAGACGATTATGAACATACTGGGTCCTTCGTTGGTTTCCTTGGGGTGTCGTTGGTTGACGTAGAACACCCTGGGCACCAGCAGCTTGATACAGTGAAGATCGCTACCGATCAACGACCACAGCTTGTACAGGCCTGGGTGGCCGGTCTCGGCAATCTGCGGAACAAATAGAAATAAGTGAATGTGATTTGAGGCTTATTTTGGACTCGAACAGTTGCACAAACAGTTAGCCAGTTTACGTTGGATGACGTGTATACACGCAAAGGTTTTGCGGCATTCGGCATGGATGAGGGATAAACACGCAATGAGCGAGGCTGGAAATATCTGTCTGCGACCCGCTCGCAGCGAGCGAGGCCAGAAATATCAGGGTGTGCTACCCACAGATGACGGCCTGAACCCGTCTGGCATCGAGGTTCGTGAAAAACAATCCCGGTCCGGTCAATTTCAAAAGAATCCCGGCGCGAACTGGTTAATAGCGCTTTTAGAACACTTTTGATAGCTCATGAAATACGCCGCGCACTTTCTGGTTCGTGCACATACGGCGCGAAGTAGGCATGACTAATTTTATTTTGAATGTGCACAAGGCTATCAGGTCTTCGCATGAGCGTCAAGTGTCTTCTTGTGAGCATCAGGCCTCGACGGCAATGCGTTCGAATGTCCCTCCAAATGATTTCTCCAAGTCTCCATTTGTAACCGCTTGAGGGGGTACTTGCATGTGCCCCGAGTCCATGATGGAGAATATAGGAGTCTCTTGGGAGAAGTTTGCTGATGCACAAGTTGGAGTGACCAACTCAAAAGAGAAGCAGTTGGTTCGGAGGAAAACCACAGGTGTTTACATGACATTTCGGTCAGTATGCAACGGTGTTGTAGTCGAGTCACCTGGGTGTAGTCTGAGTCCTAGTCTTGAGTCTCGAGTCACTCGGGTCAAGTCCGAGTGCAAGTTTCAAGTCATTTTGTTCAAGTCCAAGTTTGCGAAGCAGGTCATTTGATTGAAGTCCGAGTCAGAGTCAAAAGTCATTTGTTTAAATAACTGTGCATGTATGCCTATACGTTTTACGAAATGGACGTGTACAGACATGCCTATTACTCACTGTAGCGCCCCGAACCGCCCTGCCTATTACTCACTGTAGCGCTCCGAACCGCCCTGCCTAATTACTCACTGTAGCGCTCCGAACCGCCCTGCCTATTACTCACTGTAGCGCTCCGAACCGCCCTGCCTATTACTCACTGTAGCGCTCCGAACCGCCCTGCCTATTACTCACTGTAGCGCCCCAAACCGCCCTGCCTATTACTCACTGTAGCGCTCCGAACCGCCCTGCCTATTACTCACTGTAGCGCCCCAAACCGCCCTGCCTATTACTTGCTGTAGCGCCCTGATCCGCCGTGCCTATTACTCACTGTAGCACCCCGAACCGCCCTGCCTATTACTCACTGTAGCGCCCCGAACCGCCCTGCCTATTACTCACTGTAGCGCCCCGAACCGCCCTGCCTATTACTCACTGTAGCGCCCCGAACCGCCCTGCCTATTACTTGCTGTAGCGCCCCGAACCGCTCTGCCTATTACTCGCTGTAGCGCCCCGAACCGCCCTGCCTATTACTCACTGTAGCGCCCCGAACCGCCCTGCCTATTACTCACTGTAGCGTCTGAACCGCCCTGCCTATTACTCACTGTAGCGCCCCGAACCGCCCTGCCTATTACTCGCTGTAGCGCCCCGAACCGCCCTGCCTATTACTCACTGTAGCGCCCCAAACCGCCCTGCCTATTACTCACTGTAGCGCCCCAAACCGCCCCAGGACTCTATGGTTTTATTGATTCTTCAGTAAATAAGCACAATGTAATACAATGTAGAACAGGTGCTAATGGGCTAACCCTAAACCTCTAACTCTAACCCTAACCCTAGCCCTAACGCGTAGGGTCCAAAGTACCGGTACACACAACTAAATTATCAGTCGCACCACGAACCGGCGTATCTCAACTGTTGGCCGAATTGAGTTTTTGTCATAAATGTTTTTATTTCATCAAAATGCTCATCCTCACAAAGTTTTATTCCGATCTGAGTTCTAATTAACTAAAAACCACTAATTAGACTCTGCGGTGTATCTCTAAAAACTCTGAAATCATTCATCATGAAGTGACGTTTTACGATACGCCGCTTTACACGCTAATGACGTCACTAAGGATCATCAACATGAAAAGTGTGAATTTAGCGTTTCACGAACCAATGTATCCCCGTATCTGGCACACGGCCACTATAACGCACATTGTACGAAATACGATAAACATGATACAAATCTGTTTCACGAAGTGACGTGTATCTTGGGAACTAAATGTCTTAAAAACTAAGCAACTCAGATGCACACGGCTTGCATATAATAAAGTTTAATCTATAATTTACTAGCACAAACGAAACAGCTTGAATTCTTACACAGGTAGTAAAAGGAATGAGCCTACAAAATAATGACCAAATTTAAACTGTTTTTTCTCAAAACACAAAAAAAAAATATATTCTGAATGTGCGCAAACCCTGTGAGCGTCAGGTGCCATCGGTAATGCATTCAAAATGGTCTCCCGTAACTTTCTCTTTGGAACCGCGGTTGGGGAACTCTTGGAGCCAATAGTTGAAGCAGGATGATGAAAAAGTTTGAAGTTACTAGAATCAGTCAGGACTCACCTGGATGATCTGCCACGGCATGTCCAGCAGGGATCGCGCAGTGCGACGTAGAAACTGCCCGAGACTGTTGGAGGGGCCCACGCGGATCGCACCACCCCGGGCGGACTCGCTGTCGTCAATCCGACGGCGCTTGCTGCGTTCGGCCCGCTGGCGGGCCTGGTGCGCCCATTTCTTCTTGTGGTAGGCCAGCCATGCCCTTCGCTCCTCCTGAAACGTTGAGGACAAAGAAACAATTTGACTGGATCCTGTGAAATTAGTTTTGAGAGCATGTGCTCACCTTTCGACCTTGCAAGGCACAGTCCAGTTGAAGCACGTCTTAAAGTCTGTGAGATTTTGCAGGGCTAAGTCAGATGAGATTTGAAGATGTGCATCCACCATGCAAAAACAGTAATTGTGACCTGTCGTATCATGAGGAATAGCCCCAACCCCCTGACTTTTCAAGTTACATAGAGCACCGAAGAGTGACGCCATTCATTTTAGAACCTGGAATAATGCAAACGAATGGAGTACGCACACGTGTTGGTTCACAGGCTGAATCACGTGCTAATGTCTTTTACTACTTTACTTGTGTGCGTGATGTATTCACTTCAGTACTCTATACATCATGTTATTCCAAAGTGTCCCACCTAACTTTGCCGACCTTTGAGAAAAATGGCTTTTGAAAACAAAATAAACTGGCATTGCGGCGCCAATGGCAGTTTTTGAGTTTTTCCAGTGTTGGGAGGTGTATTTTTTTTCTAACAAAAATGCATGGTGTGGATCTTGGACACCTTGGCTACTCAAAAATAAAAAAAACCTTATATTAATTTTGACATGAGTTTTCTAGTATATCCGACTTCAGGCGTCAAGTACTCAAAAGAAGATTTTAGGGGACATTCCTCACTTTTGCCACAATAGGTCATAAGTTTACAATTCGCCGTGTCCATGCAACAAGGTTTTATCTCCTTAAATAGGCTGTGCGTGAAATGCAAATTTTAGAATATCAAAAGATTGTATCTCACTTAAAATAACCCGGATGTACACACAAAGTCAATGGACGCAAGATACGACCTTGTTGCACGGAGCGTATTCGCGCGAGATGACTTTGTTGCAGAATGGAGTTAAGACCTTGTTGCACTGATCTGACGAATGAAACCCTGCTACATCAAATATCTTTTGTGAGTCTGCGTGGTTCTGAAAAGAGCCAGTGGAAACTCAAAGCGTCTCCATTTCATGTTTTTGAGTGAGGTCTAACAACGCCGGTTTCTGGACACTTCCCTCACCTTGCTTTCTCCCATAGGAGGGGCGGGGCCGAGCACCTCCTGCCAGGATTTGGCCAGCTCCTCTTCCTCCATCGCTGCCCGACTCCGCGCCCCTCCTTCCCCCTCCGCGCTCTCCACCCGCGCCCGCTTGCGCTTGGTGACAATCGGGGGCTTGTTGAGTCCGTTGGGTCGCCTGCCCTGGCTGCTGCCAATGTCTTCCAGGTCAGGCACACCACCTGGGGAGGCGGGTCCTTGTTGGGAGTCGTCCTCCGCGTTCTCTTGATGCTGCAGATGAAAAACATGCTTGTTTGATAAGGAATCATGCTGAGTTTTGAATGTGATTCATACCAGTATCGCGATTTGATACATTTATTTCCATGCTGCCACAAAGGATGATACATAACATTACATAATCAAATTGACAACATAATGTACATAGATATACAGTCGACTCTCGTTAGTACAAACTCTGTTAATATAAATTCTGGTTATAACAAACATAAAGCCTTGGTCCCGACTGTGCCGTTATGTGCACAATGAATGGGACTGATGTTTCTCTTAATACAAAATTTTGATATAACAAAGTAAGTGCCTAGTGACATGCTGGGTGGGCATGCAAGTGGTGGAGTGTGCGGTTTTCATAACCCAAGTCTTCAACTTCAACTGGAATCTATAAGGCCGAGAAAAAGAGCTATGTGTTTAAGGTAATGCCCTTAAAAATTATCCAGGTAGGTAGGTTGAAAAAATGACTTAATTTTGTAATTCTATTGTTATGTTTGTCTGTCTGTCTATTTGTACCTTTAACAGTTTTCTGTTTAATAAACCTTTTTGAATTGACCAAGAGCACGCACAAAAACTTGCATGGAGGGAAGACTTTTTATTTTTAAAATGTGTCACTTCAAATTTTTGCCCAAATGTGGCAATAAAAACAGGTATTCAGGTATAAATATAACATTTCTTAACATCTTAGCTTGTTTAAAAATCTGGTGTGTAGGTTGAACTCGAATTTACTTTCTATAGTTATAGTTATCTAATTTATGCATTGTACATTTTGAAAGAAACCAGAGATACTCTTTTGACAGGTTAAAAAATATTGTTAAATTGTATCCGACGTCTGTATACCTTGTTACGTTGTCGGGGAGCAAACATTTCGCTGATCTTCTTCTGCTTGAAGACATCATTCTTCTCCAGTAGCTTCTTATGGAGCCAGTCAGGGTGCCGGACTCGCGGTACAGGATTTGCCACCTAGAAACACCAATCACAATGTAAGAAAAGTGTCACGTGATCCCGAAAGAGCCAATCAAATTCCACTTGGCAATTATGTCTCATGTACGTGATCTATAGACATGATTGCTGGATAGACTGACCAATCAGAATGCTTCATTTGCATCACATGATAATCAATGACCAATCATATTTCAGTTATGACTAATCTATTGCAAAACAAGTCTGGGTACCTGATTCTTTCAGATGGATCGTAACGATAAAACAACTCATAAATATTCATCCCTTGAGAGCCAGATAACCAATCAGAGGCCAAAAAGTAAGTCACATGACAGATATTAGCCAATCATTACCTGCTGTAGTGCAGCTGGGATGGTAATGATCTTCTGGATGCAGCTGCTCAGACGTTCAATGTAGTACTGCCAGTCCAAAATCTAGACAAACATAATCATAAAATTACTTGATAAATAATTACATAGATTGTTTCAACGAACAAATTATCTTCAAATAACAATTTTTTCAGCGTCAACTGCAGAAAAAGGAAACCACAGTGCTTTTTTATCAGATTCGGCTCTGTAATCTGCATTCTGGCCTGTCAGCACGTTAGTGGTGGATACATCATGGAGATATTACATTTCAAAATTTGCATAAAGGTTTACAAATTGTCGTGTGAACCACAAAGTGACAATGTTGACCATTTTTGCTGTATCACGATGTGATGGATCGCATATGTACTTCATCAAGGGCGTCAATCGTATCTCAAACGTGTGGGGGGGGGGGGGATATACCAGGATCAGAACAAAATGCAACTGCAAAGCCATAACGGCGTGGGGTTTCGGGGCACACTAAAGGGGGCACACTAAAGGGGGCCCACTAAAGGGCCCCCGAAATTTTTTCAATTCTAGATACTCTGTGGTGCAATCTGAGGCAATTTCTGACCACTTTACCCAATTTTGTTTAGCAAAAAATCATCATTTAAACATTATTTTCGAGTTTTGAGTCATTGCGTCAGGTATTCTGAGCTATAGAATCAAATGCCTAAAGGCCTAAAAGTGGGGGGACAAACGATATATCCCTCCTACTTCAAAAATTGAGGGGGACATGTCCCCCCCCCCCCCACCACCGATTGACGCCCATGTACTTCCCGCACATGATATGGCACAATCACAATGCCAAGATACATTATTCCACATGGAACTGGGAAAATGGCCACTACCATACAATATGGCACTTTCAGAAACCACTTTCCATCACCACACTTCTATGTTAACCAGTTCACGCCGAGAACATTTTAATAAGATCGGAACGAGGCGCAGGATTACTTTTCACTCGACCGCAATGCCAGGCGGGTTGAAACCATCACCCTCGGGCAGCACACTCATATTTCCGGCTTGCTCGCTGCGAGCGGGTCCCTGACAGATATTTCCGGCCTCGCTCCCAGCGTGTTTATCCATCATTCGTTCTGAATACCGCAAAACCTTTGCGTGCATACACGTCATCCGGCGCGAACTGCTTATTAAAAGTCCCCAAGGTTACATAAACAGACGTACGTCTCTGATGTCGTAGTTTGTCCTGCCGGGATCCTTCAGCCACTTCTTCAGGTAGTGTCTGAGAACGCTGGGCTCTGATTGGAAGATGGCCAGCGGGATGGCGCGTTCCGTCACGGGGGCGCCCTCCGGCTTCTTGGAGATGATGAACTTGCACGCCAGGCCTTTGTCCTTGACCATCTGGTCCCCAAGGAACTGCAGTACGGATGGGAATTCAATTTCGATTTGGTAAACGTTTTGCAAACCCTACACATTCCATTTTTGTGCATTTTACTTTTTAGAGCAACAAAATTACTCAAAAACTTTAAGGGTGAATTACAGGGGTGCGCATTTACGGGAAGTATAGGAACCGGGTACCCGATTGAAAAAAAAACACGAGTACCTGGGTACTGGGTACGTCAAACATGCCAAAATTCAAATCTCAGAAGTTGCTGTAAGATGCAAGTACAGTAAGCTTTATGGTTTTACAGTGTAAACTGCAGCTTTCGCGAGCGTCATAAAAATGTGCAATATGTTTTGTTTCCCATGTGGCCTGGTTTTCATTTTGAAAATTCCCCACAAATGACTTCAAAACCTTTCTATTTCGTTGTCTGAGAAGTACCTAAGTAATTTGTGAAGTAGGTTACGGGTACCCGATCCCATAATCTGGAACCGGTTCCTGACATTAACGGTCGGGTTCTCGGGTACCCGGCTCCGATGCACAGCCCTAGGGTGAATAACAACTAACCAGTTGTAGTGTCAGTACACATTTAGAGATAACAGAGAAAATGTATAAACAATTTTGGGGGCTTTTAACTGGATCCGGGGACAGATATATGAAAATTGAGCTCAGAAGTGCATTCCACTTGCGAAAAAAAATGAAAACATGCACAAATGCTGGCAACTTTCACAGGAGCAGAACCAACCGTGTGTCATCAACAATTGACGAACGTTAAAGGGAAAATACAACATTTGCAAACATCAAAAAATAAAACTACCAAATCATTTTGAAATACCTTGCTGGACTGTTAGTGAATGACAGTGTAAAGCTTCCTGTAAAATCATGGCACCTGGTATACTGTCATTTTCAAGAAAAGTGGTATTTTTGTATCAATTTCCAATGCTGGTCGGCCGACCAGCGTTGGCCTTTTTTCAAATACTGGCCCCAATTGACCATCGCATTTGTTTGCAATCGATTATACACCTAGAAACGGGTACAAGCCAGCTAGACCGGTTCCCTGACCTTACAATTTCCCAATGTACATAAACTGCTCTGTTTCTTCTTAAATGGAGTCAGGGAACCAGACTACAGGAAAAGTATTGTTTTTCTTGGTTTTTATAGCATCCTCGAACGCAAAACTTCAAGAAAGTCAGTGTAACAATATTTGCTTTGTATTACCAACCCCCCAATTCCATCCATTTCTGAAAATGACAGCAAAAGCAAATGATGTACATTGTATATTCCCTTTAAGCAACAAAGGTGACCAGTCTTCCAGTGTCATTCACTATGTTTTCCAAGATGGCCGACTCACACAAAGCGAGCCGTCGGAGCTGAAAGTCCCTGTTTTCTACTCTAAAAATCTCCATTAATTTCATATATCATAAAGCGAAATATCGATTCAAATCGCAATCAATTTTTCAGAGATATGAAAGCTTTTATCCACACAGTGACACTGGGCACCACCATTTCCACAATGGTTGCAGATGGCATTTTCGTTTCACGTTATCAGGGGCTTAGCAAACACTTACGCAAAACTGTGTGTAGTCAAACCATAGAGGTATATTATATTACTAGAGCGCTAATTCCTCATTCTTGCGCGCGGAGACGCTTTGAAGCCGTCCTTGGCGCAGACATTTCATGTGCGTGTTTGTAGAACATAATGAAATTAGATGGATTGTATTTTGAAAGTGTACCCTAAATGTAACACACAAGTAGAACGTACGCAAACGTCTTACGCATGTTACGGTTAAAAAAAAACCTGGTTAATCAAGGCTGCAGCGGATACGCAAATGCATTGCGCTGTTTGCGTAAAGCAAAATGACACGCTCATTTGCTGATCGTGCGTTTCGGTTTTTGGCATATCAGCTTCTATTACGCACCTGTATGGAATACAAACACAGATATGCAAATAGCCGTACAAAATACGTACAAAATGTCTAGTTCTCCATAGGTTTGTGTACAAACATGGATGCACCCAGCAGGTATCATTTTGTACATGAGTTAGCGCTCTAGTAATTTAATATAGCTGTATGAGTTGAACAGATTCCTGGTATCAACAGTTACACCACATTGTAAGAAAAATGGTGGGTATAATTCACCTCAGCCAGTCTCTTGGCTGTGCGGATGGATGTAGATTTCTGCGTGCCGTACTCCTCAAGTTTCCTGGACATGCTACGATTCTCCGAGATCAGGAAGAACAGCTCCGAGTCCGGCAAGTTGGCAGCCTGGGAAAAAAAAGAAACCAAACATTCTAAGAAATATGTATAGCAGAGAATGCATAGTTTCTGGAAAATAATCATATACATTTCAGCCTAATATAAGTAAAAGTAATAATATTGGGCGTTTTTTTTTTTTCGGGGGATACAAGAATACATGCACTTGCTAAAACAATATTGCAGTCATCTTCGATTTGTGCAACATTGTTATAGCTCATGCGATATATTCTTGTTTCCCCCTCAAAGGCATCCAATATTATATAATTATTGCTGTCATTGTGGTTTTGGTGTTTCGGTGGTTTTTTTTGGCATAGTTTTGCTGAGCAACCTACCTTACTGTACAGCACATCCAGCCAGTAATCGGCAATCTTGGCCACCGCCGCGTAGCACTCCTCCAGCGTGGTCCCCTTCAGGAAGGCCTCAAAGACCGACGCCTGGAAGATCTTTATCAGCTGCAGCTCCCCGTTACGCTTCACCTCAAAACCCTTCAGCTCAGCCAGGGAGCCGTCAAAGTTGAACACGGCGTATCTGTCAACAGAACAGAATCATACACAAACAGTCGTCGTAAATGCTGACATTATTATCCTCGTCCAGATATTTAGATTAATTAAAACGTTGCGCAGCCATGCCAAGTTTCGTGAGCATAAGTTTATTGCGCAGCTGCGCAATAAATTTGTTGCCCAAGTCCTACACATGGCGTAAATTACGCACTGTTTTGTGAAATCGGCTGCAGGTATGTGGAGTCAACCCCAAAAAGTTAGAGTTCAAGAGGATTAATTAAAACGTTGTGCGGCTACGCCAAGTTTCGTGAAATCAATCGTAAGTTTATTTGCGCAGCTGCGCAATACATTTGTTGCCCAAGTCCTACGCATGGCATAAGTTACGCACTGTTTTGTAAAATCGGCTAATGTTGCCTAAGTCTTGCGTAAGTTACGCACTGTTTTGCGAAATCGGCTGCAGGTATGTGGAGTCAACCCCAAAAAGTTAGAGTTCAAGAAGATTAATTAAAACGTTGTCCAGCTATGCCAAGTTTCGTGAAATCAATTGTAAGTTTATTGCGCAGCTGCGCAATACATTTGTTGCCCAAGTCCTACGCATGGCATAAGTTACGCACTGTTTTGTAAAATCGGCTGCAGGTATGTGGAGTCAACCCCAAAAAGTTAGAGTTCAAGAAGATTAATTAAAACGTTGTGCGGCTATGCCAAGTTTCGTGAAATCAATCGTAAGTGTATTGCGCAGCTGCGCAATTCATTTGTTGCCCAAGTCCTACGCATGGCGTAAGTTACGCACTGTTTTGTAAAATCGGCTGCAGGTATGTGGAGTCAACCCCAAAAAGTTAGAGTTCAAGATCATTAATTAAAACGTTGTGCAGCTACGCCAAGTTTCGTGAAATCAATCGTAAGTGTATTGCGCAGCTGCGCAATTCATTTGTTGCCCAAGTCCTATGCATGGCGTAAGTTACGCACTATTTTGTGAAATCGGCTGCAGGTATGTGGAGTCAACCCCAAAAAGTTAGAGTTCCAGAAGATTAATTAAAACGTTGTGCAGCTATGCCAAGTTTCGTGAAATCAATCGTAAGTTTACTGCGCAGCTGCGCAATTCATTTGTTGCCCAAGTCCTACGCATGGTGTAAGTTACGCACTGTTTTGTAAAATCGGCTGTAGGTATGTGGAGTCAACCCCAAAAAGTTAGAGTTCAAGAAGGTAGACAGACCAACAATCAGACTGAGAAACAATTATACCACCCTATGCTACAGGCTCACCCCTTCTGCAATTTCTTGCCTTCCTCCTTGCATGTTGGTTGAATTATGGCCAGGTATGTGAAGTCAACCCCCAAAAAGTTACCGTTCTAATAGCCTCGGTCAAAGCGCTAGTTGTTATTCATCCCGCGGCCGTAGCGCGGTAAACGATATCCTCGCTAGCACTATGCATGCGGTGCATTAAAAATACAGCGCGAACAGCGACCTCACGTGGCCACCATTTCTATGCAAATCAGTTGGACCCAATCTAGCGGCTTGGCTCAATCGTCCATGTGAGATTTTGGGGGTGGTGCTCATTATGTTAATAGCCTTAGCTGACCTTAAATGTCGTTTTCTTATTGGTCAGTCGTTGCGTGAAAATTTGCATAGTGAAACATGGCACCGTACATAATCCATACACATACACGTTGTGTGTCTCTGCACACGGCACCAATGCACAAAAACTGTGGTTCCTGTCACGTCGGCAAAAGGGGAATAGCTGCCAATAATTTGATGACGCGTAGATTTACCAAGGAGTGATTGGACACTCCACATATTAGCCTCGCCTACACTTATCTGTTCTCGCATACGAGGTCGTGCGCTAGAAATCCAGTGCAAAATAAAGAAAAACATAAGCTTTTGCCGACGATTGAACCAAGGCGCTATATTGGGTCCAACTAATTTGCATAAAAATAGTTCGCGCTGTATTTTTAATGCACTATGTGAAGACATTATGACTGCATGCATAGCGCTAGCGAAGATATCGTTTACAGCTCTACGGCCGGATGAATAACAACTAGCGCCTTGACCAAGGCTACCATTCTAAGAGATAGACACACAAGCAATCGGACCAACAAACAATTATACCACCCTCTGCTATAGTCTCACCTCTTCTTCAGTTTCTTGCCTTCCTCCTTGGATGCTGGTAGGATCATGGCCAGGTATGGACCATCGACCTCAAAGAAGATGGAGTTCTCGTTGCGTTCGGCATACGTCAAGTTGCTCGGGTCTACCAGCTCCTGATACTGGTCATTAGTGTAGAAATCCTGTCCATTAAAAACAAGAATAAAAGAATGAAATTGGGATTTTAAAGAACTGAACCCTTTCAGTTACGTATTGTTTGGGTTCCAGTGGCCAATTTCACAAAATAGTTTCGTAAATTACGCTGTATGTAGGATTTATGCACCAAAAAAGTTGTGCAGCTGAGTGACATTCTTATATCTGATTTTTTTAACGGAATTTTGCATACCTCAATAACATTTTAAATATTTCAAACGTCTTGGACGAGAGCGATCATAGTTTTTTTTACCACTGTTTGTGTATCTGTCACAAAACGCTCTTTGAAGTAGCTTGGCTTACAGTTATATAGAAACTGTCTCAAGGGTATTTAAGGCATTTCATTGTTAGGCTCTTCCTTGGTTCGCAGGTTTGTGGTGTCTTCATCATGTTTCTCCCAAAGGGAGCCTTTACTATTTCACTTCATATCATCATCATTAAACACATTCAAAAATGGAAAAAAAGTCAATCGACAATTTTGTTTTTCTTGCATTCATTTAAAAATAAAAGACCTTAATCGAAGACCTTTACAAACCAATATACAAATATTGAGTTGCTCAGAGTGGAATGGGAGGAATATTGTTGTTCGGTAAAATCTGGACTTTTCCATTTTCACTCAGCAAAGAAAAGTCCAGATTTTACCTTGCGATAATATTCCTCCCATTTCACAATTTACAGCCACTCAATATTTGTTTTATATAACTGACATATAGATCCTTGTCATTTGAATTACAGTTAAAATGAACTTCTATTTCACTACACAATTGGTGGGAAATGTATTTCTCACTTCCAAACCACCCCTTCACGAACTGCTTGAACCCAACTCTGTAGCTACTGGCTCTTGGGAACAATACGTGCTACGCGCAATGCTCAACGCGCACACCAGCATGCAGTCATTTGCACACAAATACCGCGCCATGGAACAAGGATGATCTTTACCATGGAAGGGTAAATCCCATTCACCATGGGCGAATGGGACTTTTTGAGCCCCGGCGTGAATGGGAGCAATAATGAATGTCACGTGATGTGAGTTCCACCAATCAAATGACGAGGATAAATGTCAGTTATGTAAAAAACACATATTGCCTGTTCCATTCTGGTAAGATAAGTGCAGACTCGGGAAAGTTCAATTACATTGGAACAGAAGTACTTTGTTACAGCAGAACTTAACTGTATGCAGTTCATTTGTTACATACCTTAACCATGATGTTCAGCATTGCCCCCGGGTACGAGATTGTCACTTTAGGTTTCTTGGGATTGGTCGTTTTGACGGTGTAGTTCTCTGGGAAGCTAGCAGGCAAAACGCACCAGATTCCGTCCGTGTCCAACTCCAACGGCCGCCTAATGAATATGCAACAGCCCAACTTTTAGTGGAATTCTGATTAAAATTGGCCCTGCGCTGCACAATGCACATCTACATGGTTGGTGGTTGCACTGCAGTGTGCAGTACATGTTTGAATTGGGTCCCCGACCACATTACCATGTAGTTTCTGTCGTCTGGGGTCGTATTGTGGCAGAGCACTAAATATCTTGTTGGTGAAGGTTACAACAAAGTCATTAAAATTTATACCATCCGATGCAAAGATTTCTTCTTTAAAGTGTTGTTATTGCTCAGCCATGAATAAATATAGGCCTGGATTATGCTTGAAATCCTCCGTACTGCTCCAGGATGTCACTGGCCAAAAGCCTCAACATATTGACAGTCACTGCCGCAGGAGTTTGCAGGATTCAGGCAGTGGTCACCCCTCCACGGACCATATTCAAGAAATAATGGAGGAATTTGCAGGATTGAGGCTATATGCTATTTTTCCATGAGGCCAATTGGAGGATTTGGCAAGATTGAGGCTACATCCTAGCAAAAAGGCCTAGGGAGTTAGGGCTTTTAAAGGTAGAGTAGATCATTTGCATCTATCCAAAAAGTAACTGACCAAAGTATTGTTAAAAGACATTGGTTTAAATATAGTAATGGCACTAAACACCCTGTGAAATTATTCCTTCTGGCATGCTGTATTTTGAAGAAAACACAAAAAGGTCATATCCGAAGATGAGTCAGTGATGCATTTTTGGAAATTTCTGTCAGTAGTTGGTTTGTAATTGAGCGAATCCGTGAATGGGTGCACTGCAAGCATTAACACAACGCGCTCGCGGTTGCTATTATTCGCCTGTTCAGCAGTTCAGTGCATGACATCACGTAGTTGCAATCGACTGAAAAAGAACATGTTCCAGATGCTGATTTCGGGCACAATTCAAAATATGACTCGGCAACTTTTGAGTTGAAATCGAGATCCTAGAATATTGTTTTCTCAGAATATAAAGCTTTCACTGAGCTAGAACTTCATCAGGTTAGTTGTTCAGCACCCGTCTTTAGATTTTGAGCACTTTTGTTGCTTCAAACAAAAAAATGCACAAATGACAAATGATCTACCCTACCTTTAAACAGGCATGCAACTGGGAAGTCACAAAAAAAGAGGAAATTCAAATCTTTCCAAGACTTTGTACAGTGTTTTTCTATTTTCAATGGCACACATGGGAAGTGAAAAAAGAGGAAATCAGCTGATCCGAGGAAAAGTTGTATGCCTGATTAAAGACAAGCTAAGGGTGCATTCCACTTGCGCAAAAAATGCACCCCATTTTTTCAAAGATGGCTTACCCAATCTGCTCCACTATTTCCCTGGCTCTTGTAATTATGCTGGCACCGGTGTAGCACACGATACCAGCCATCTCCATAGAGTACCAACGAGCACTGAACACAAAGAAACAAAATTAAGTCACTATCAACAAAGAACATTTAGAAATATTACAAAGTAAGGGCTTTTTCTAAAGCAAGGGCGTTTTCTAACAAAATAGTGAAGACTAACAGTGTCAAATCAAAAGTTTTTATTTATATTTGGCAACATGACACATCTATGAATGCCAGGTTTTTGTGATCTGGTGCTTCAGAACAAGAGTTCATGTGGGTAATTGTGCAGAATTTGGGGTTCGAATCTAGCCTTTGGGACCGGGGCACATGTCACGTCGAGCAAGAAACTCTAGGTACTTACTACGTCTCTCCATCGAGGAGTAAACTGGGTACCAGTTCATAAAAAGTTTATTATGTGGTGTAATTACAATCATTCTAGTTTTTCCGAGCTGCGCTTAAATCCCATATGGGCTCAGTGTGCCAACAAAAGAGGGCGTGTTTTTACATCTTTTGAGAACTCCGTGGACGGGACACACAGCGTACGCGTACTGTACTGTTTCACGCACGAAGTATGCATGACTTCCTGAATGTCGAAAAGCTATGGCCATCGCATCTTTGCGTGAGAGTCAGGCGTCGTCAGCGCGCAAATACGTTCGCAGTTAACTTGCGTTGGTCTCCGAGACTAATCCCTGCCTCCGATAACTTTGGATACATTCGAAATATGCAGTGGATGGATCGGAGACCAGTCCAGGGCACCCCCAACTCTCCTTTTCTGGCCGTTAATGATGACTTCAAGTATCTGGGCTCCTACACCAACACAGCTCATGACATCGAGTGTAGAAAAGCTCAAGCTTGGTCTGCTCTGTTCTCACTGACCAAAGTATGGAGATCCTCGATCTCCAAGACCACCAAACTTAAGATCTTCAAGACCTCAGTAGAATCCATCCTCCTCTACAGTTGCGAGTCCTGGACCCTGACCAAACAGATCTCTGCGTCCATTGATGGCACCTATACACGGATGTTGCGGGCTGTTCAGAACGTTTCTTTGCAACAACATCTCCCTAACTCTGTTCTGTATGGCGCCCTTCCCCCTATCTCCACCACCATCAGACATCGTCGCCTTCGGCTAGCCGGTCACGTTTATCGACATAATGAGCCAGCTAGTCAAGTTCTCCTCTAGAATCCTGAAGCCTCTCGACAAAAAGGTCGTCCAAACATGACCCTGAAAACATCCATCGAGCTATAAACTGGTCTGAGTGGTCCATCTCTTTCCAACACTATGCTCGACAGGGACAGTTGGGCCCAACTCATCAAGTCATCATGAAAATGAATGAATGAAGAAAAGAAGAATGGGGGACCTTTGCAAGGAGCTCATACGCACCATTTCTAATGGATGTTATTATCGCTGTGCACTCACCCCTTTCTCATGACGTATCCGTAGAATGAATTCAGGATGCATTTGTGAGCCAGTTGCAGTGAGTCGTACAAGATCTCCTTGTTCTTGGCGCTCTTGATCTCGCTGGCGTCACCCTTCTCTGTGGCCGATGCAACTTTTCTCTTCCACACCTTGAAAAAGATTAGAAATTTAGTTATCAATTCATTCCTCAAAATCTGTGATTTTTTTTTTTACATTAACCCTCCTACTATTTAAACAGTCACAGACAGTCAAAATGTCCATCCACTTCCCCTGCTAATCTTTTAACACAGGCTAGTCACCAACAGTCAGATTATATGTCGAGCAAGCACTGTGACTAGTCAAATTCAGTCAACAGACCATGAACAGACAAAACAGGCAAGTTGTGCGCACAGCTGGCTTATCAATCACCCCCAGTCAAAGCAAAGCTGTATCAAGTTACATAAACCGTCACAGCCAGTCAATCCTGCTTGATGTAGCTTGAATAACATCTGTGCGTATTCCTTTACCTTGAGTAATCCCTTGAACTCGTAGCGTCGGTCGCGAAAGGCTCGGACCGTATCCACGTAAAAGGAATTCTCCCGCTGGCAAATTGTCGTGGTGCGTTCCTCTTGCCGCGTCACTTTGGTTTTCTTGTAAGCCTTCCGGCAGTAATCTTTAACAAAAAATCATTGATGGTGTTTGTTAAACGTACGTGAAATGCGTGGTTAAGGAATGCGCATGAACCGTCGTCGAGGAAGGTAAATGTACGTGGAATGCATCGTTAAGAGATGCGCGTGAACCGTTGTCGAGGATGTGACACTGACCTGGGCCCAATTTCATAGCGCTGCTTAACAGCCGACTTTGTGCTTACCGTGCCTCCATCTATTTCATAGTGACTGTTAAGCAGTAAGCGCAGCAAAAGCACGCTTAACCCCAAAAGAAACCTTTGCTTAAATCAGTGACGTAACAATAGAAATCTCCATGCGCGCGCAACCGTTAGCATGAAATAGTGCTTAAGCAGCAGCATGATTTTCTGCTATAGTAAGCACAACTTTTCTGCTTACTGTTAAGCAGTGCTATGAAATTGGGCCCAGGGGAAGAGGTGGCATCGCGATTCGGCAGAGTATTCTCTTGGTAAGGGAACGTCTCGAAAAGTCGCAACGCTTGGAACGTTCCACCAGGGAACACTGCCTGTTTCAATAGGGAACATGCGTTGTTCCCACTGGGCCCGTGGGAACGTTGGTCTACGCACGTGCAAGCTTACTCGGGAATGGCCTGTTCCAGTTGGGAACACAATTCGATACATTTATTTCGATGCTGCATAAGGATGATACATAATACATAATGTTATATATTCAAATTGACAATACATACTAGATATATTTACAATAGTGAACATTAACTAAATGGCAACATCTAGGTCCAGGGTGAAGCATCAGCTTTTGTTCCCCAGCCTATGGACACAGGGAATACAGTGTTCCTAGCAGGAACGTTTCAAACGGAACGGGAACTCTCCGCCTTTTTAGATGCTCTGTATATAAGGCCAAAAAAAAAAAGTCTCCAGTTTCTGGTATGCGCGCGCGTCACCGTAGCCATGCGCGTCGGCAAAATGAAAAAGTTTTTTTTTTTTCAATGAAAGATGATGTCTCAAAACCACCAAACTCACTGGTTTGACTGGAATCCTGCTGCTGCACAATTTTAACGTGTTTTTAGATTGGGTTATGGTCGAGAATAAGCTTTATGTGGACTCTCTGGACTCCCATATATTTGCACTAAGTTTAGTCGGGCACCATTTGCAGTCATCAGCCGACATTTAAAGCAAAAAAATCAGGTAAAAAAAAAAAAAAAACCCGTGTCGCTGCACCACTTTTTGGGCAAGCTCCATACCAGAAACCGGAGACTTTTTTTGGGGGGGCCTAATAGGATTGAAAAAAAAATTAACCTCATTCCAATGCTCCTACCCAATCCCCCGCCCCCCTTTCCCTTGTTGACGAACCTGACAAACGTTTCTTCTCCATGGCAGCCTGTTCCTCGCGGGGTATTTCATGGAACACCCTTGTCGGTTCCCCGGGGTTGACCGGCGGAATCTTCTCCATCTCCAGCTGTTGCTTGATGCGGTGGTACTCCCCCCGGGATGCTGGCACTGTAAAACCAACCCCAAAAAAGAAGAATCCAAAAATCTTTTTTTATGTCTTGATATAGCAAGGTTTTTGCCAGAGGTAGGGTTCCTGGCACTTTATGATGAAAAAGGATGTTTCCCTGATATTTCCCTAAGAAATTTCCAAAATTCCATGAGAAATATTTTGACTTAAAAATGAGGTTGCTGTGAAGTCGAGAGGTGGTTGCATCATCAACTATTGAAGATACTGTTAATTCACAGACAACTTGTAAACAAGTGATGGCCTCCCTTTTCCCTTACAACCATCTTAACCTCATCAAGTGGCCCGAATTTTTTCCCCCAAATTTTAGATCATTTGAATAGATGTGACTTGACTGAGGGCTGGATGATTAGTCATAGACTTGTGTGGACTTGCAACGGACTCTACTAAACACGCTGTAAAACTTTGATGACAAAACTCTTACGGAAATCTCCTCTCCACATCCAAGGCATTTTGCGTTGGCAGCGCGCGCCGGGCTTGTTGAAATCGCAGGCTGCACATGTCACTTCATCCACCATGGCTGAAGGCTGAGGAAAAAATCAAGAAAAAGATTCCAACAATCAGTCTTCAAAGAACGGGGAATATATGATCATGTCTTAAGCACAAATAAATATAACAAAATTTATTTGTAAAATGTACAAAAAAGTGGAAAAATACACATTCAGATGTTGAATTATGCACCTATGCATACTTAAAACTGTGTCATATTCATAGAGCTATATTAAATTACTAGAGCGCTAACTCGATGCACAAAGAGATGCCTGATGGGCGCATCCATGTTTGTGCACAAACCTATGGAAAACTCGAAATTTTGTGTGGCTTTTGTACAGCTATTTGCATATCTGCGTTTGTATTCTATACTGGTGCGTCATCAAAGCTGATACACCCAAAACCAAAACGCACGATCAGCAAATGAGCGTTTCATTTTGCTCTACGCAAACAGCGCAACGTGGGTGCGTCCCTCTGCTGCAGATGCTTGTCGCCCGTGACGTTTTTTAACCGTCATGATGCGTTTAAGTTGTTTGCATATCTTCTACTTGTGCGTTGCATTTAGAGTACTCTTTAAAATTCAATCCGTCTATTTTGATTTTGTTCTACAAACACGCACATAAATTCAACATGTCTGCGCCCAGAGCGGCTTCAAAGCGTCTCCGCGCGCAAGAATGAGGAATTAGCGCTCTAGTAATTTAAAGGGAATGTACATCATTGGCTTTTGCTGTAATTTTCAGAAATGAACTATTTGAGGGGTTAGTATAATAGATCAAATATTGTTACACTGACATGTTTGAAGTTTTGTGTTCGAAAATGCTGGAAAAACCATGAAAAACAAAAATGTTCAAGTAGTCTGGTTCCCTGACTCATCAATTTATAGATGATGGAAAATTGTAAGGCAAGGGAACCAATCTAGCTGGCCTGCACCCGTTCATGAACATGTAACCAATAGCAAACAAAATTTGGACTGAAAACATGGTAAATTTGGAGCAGTAGGTGAAATATAGTTAGGTTTTTCCAACGCTGGTCGGCGGACCACCATTGGAAATGTATACAAAAATACAATTTTCTTGAAAATGACTTCACACCAGGTGCCACAATTTTACAAGATGCTTGAGACTGTCATTTACCAACATCCTAGTAAGGTATTTCGTAAAAACTTGGTAGTTTTATTTTTCAATGTTTGCAAATGTTGTATATTCCCTTTAATATAGCTCTGTGGACATATTAGACTAGAGTCCTCTTGGTAAATTAAAAAAATCTACTTCTGCAAACTGTTATATTCTTATGTGTATCTCTTGAAGTATAGGCAGTTTAAAGGTATTGTTATCGCCCTGCCTGTTATTCCCTGTACCCCCCTCAACTGCCCGAGCTCTCTATGGTTTTATGGATTCATCAGGCAATAAATACAATGTAATACAATGTAATACAATGTAATACAATGTAACACAATGTAGTACAGGTGCTGATTGGTTGAGAAGCTTACCTGCAGTCTGTTAGTGAGAATGATATTTGGATACATAGCGCCGACGTCCAAGTGATAGATGATAGGGTTCTCAAGTCTGGCCGGGGTGTCTCGTAGGGCTGCTAACTTCTCCTTGATATCAGTGCATACCTAGAACCCAAACCAGACCCAATCAATTAATTCAATAAACCCTGGGTTTTGTTGCTGGAGACCTTCCTTTTTTAAATAGCCTCCAAAATGTATCAATATTTGGCACATTCTTGGGGCTAAAAGAATGAACAAATCATTGAAAACTTCACAGTAAAAGTTGATCTAGCCTGCAGTAAATTTGGTTATTCCTAAAGTTATACCTCTTATTCATTAATACCTTAGACAGTTTACCCATACCCATTGGTCAAAGGCCTGTCACGTGGCCGGTCTTAAACGGATGATAAAGACGTGGCCATGTCTTAAACACTTTTTCAGTGTCACCTGAAATTTGAACTCCTATGAAATCCGGTGCCTTTTACCGTTTTATTGGTTGAACGTTCACAATCCTCACGTAGACATACGCTATGCTGGAACGAATTTTTGTTTTTTTCACCAAAAAGGTATTTTTGAATTGGAATAAATATGTGCTTGGTCGGTATTAAACACCATATTTAAGACTGGTTGGAGTCTGGATGTTTAACACCTCTCAAGCACACATTTATTCCCTTAATATTGTCTTGTGTGACTAGGACCTTGTAATTGATGTGAACTTTTTATTGCCAAAGAAGAAATTTGGCCCTCTTTTTGATGACTTTACAGAAGGATTCTTTTTCTTTTGTACCTCATCAAAGTTGGTGACAGTTTCCAGAGGGACTTTCTCCTCTTCTTCGATGGCGTGACGCATGGTCCGCTCAACATTTTCCATCAACGTCTGAAATGCCTCAGGCACCTGCAAATTCAAAATGTCATCATCATTTAATAATAATAATAATAATGTGGTACTTATATAGCATTTTATATCAAAGGTCTCAAAGCGCTTTACAATTATTACCCCTGTTGATCAGGCCATGAGACCAGTTTTTGCAGCAGCTCGAGATCAGCGCATTCTGGTTTCAGGTACTCATTTATACTCCTGGGTGGAGACAGGCGATTGCAGGAAAGTGTCTTGCCCAAGAACACAAGCACCATGTTCCCCGTGAGGATTCGAACCCACGTGCCACGGCACGTGAGTCGAACACTGCAACCACTGGACCACGGTGCTCCTTAAACATTTAAACCCCCTAGGCCCTCTGGCTAGGATGCAACCTCAATCCTGCAAAATCCTCCCATTGCCACCTAGAAAAAAATTGGATTCAGCCTCAATCCTCCAAAATCATCCGTTATTTCTTGAATTTAGTATGTGGAGGGTGACCACTGCCTCAATCCTCCAAAATCCTCTGCCAATTACTGTTATGGTTTGAGGCAGTGCGGATGAAATACGAGAAAAGCACAGGGCTAATTTATGCAGGCTGAACATAACCAATGCAGGATATGGCCTACTGGCTTGACGTAATGCATCCTCCACAAAAAAGCGATACATCTTTGCCATTCATCCTCAATCCTCTAAAATCATCCAAAACCGGCAGGAGGATTTTGGAGGATTGAGGAGGGTTAGGGTTAAGAACAGTTCATACTTCACAGGAACGTAAAAATGTCATGCACGCAAAGCTTGGAATTTGTCGGGTCGCAGTGCCCAAGTTCCCAAGACTGGATTCGATTCAAATTCAGTACATTGCAATCGAAAGTTAGGATAACCTGGGAACAGGAAATTCTCTTCACACTTCTTTTCTTCCCAGGGACTACATTTCCATTTCTCAAAATGTGAAAAGAATTTCCCATATTTGGGAAAACATTTTCACCCTTTTGACGCAAGTGGGAAAACATTTTCACGAAATGAGAACTGCGAATGCGAATGCTAATGCTTTTCACAAAAATTCCCATTCCCATTTGCAGTGCTAACTTTCGACTTCGACTAACAATATGCAGAATCGTCCTAAAATATATATTTCTTTTCATCTTCTTGAAATAAAATTGCACCACAGCAACGACCTACCATTCGGAATCGGCAGGGCAGATCACTCCTGAAAACCCCCGATTCCAAGGCCTCGACGTGCCCGCCCACGTAGGTCTCCATGTCCAAGACGTGACCGTCGCTGGTCAGTTTGTTGTAGACAGCCTCCTGCTTGTTGGGGAAGATGATGTTGGCGTGGAATGCTTGGACCATCAGCAGGGCCTCACACAGGGTGCCTGAACCTTTCCTCAGGACCTAGAGAATGTTCAGGAGGCAAAATCTACACATTAATGAAACTACGATATTTTCATCCCAATTTCTTTGATTATTCTGGTTTATTTTGCCAACAAAAATTACTACAGCCACTAAGAAGGTAGTCTATACATATGAACAGATTCGCTGATTATTTAGGTAGACAATTGCATCTTAACCTCTAGAGTTTGACCAATCAGCAGGCGCTTTCTATGTCGGGTCTTCGGTCATTCACCATTGTTGCGTCTAGACATGGATAAAAATAACCCCACCGCTAGACACAGCAACAAAAGCTTTGGTCATGTGCTATCATGTTACGCGACACGTACGCGCGCGGCTGTTGTTGCACTACAAAACACTGCATTGGAATTGACCAATCAAACCATTAGTCCTGATTTGGGAATGAAATGACGTCACAATTTAGTAAAGTCGACTCCCATTGGCTGAGGCGCGAGATCGCATAAATCTGTATGCTTTGGCATATCAGACGTTATACAGGAGACTAGGCTCCAAGGATAACGGGTGATACTCCGACTACTAAGAAGGGACACTCAGGAAGAAGCTGTGCCACCAACAAATGCTTAGATAGCAGTAAAAAAGATCTACCATCAAACTTTGGAAGTAACGAAGTGCAAAATCCACACACCTTTAATGACAACTACAGTAATAACTTGCCAGATTTGATCATACAGGACAGCTACGCTTACCTCATCCGGTTCCATCGGGATGATGGTGCACAGCGCAAAGATGAACGGATGGACGTACTTCATGTACAAGTAGTACGTGGAGACGGCGTCAGAGACCGAATAGTTGGCCAGGACCCCCGGCTGCTCCGACGCCATGCGACACATCTCCTCTGGATCCATTTCGACCGGATCATAGCGTAGCTTGGCCTTGGTGGCCGCCTTCAGGTTCTGGCTGCCGACCGGTAGGTAGCTGTCACGCTTCACCCATCTTGTTTGAGTAAGGGTAAGGTGTACTGATTTTAGAACAATGCAAACCGTTAATTCTTAGTTTTATAGCATCTAAAAGCCAGACGTGTGATTGGTGGCCGCCTTCCGTTTCTGGCTGCCGTTGGGTAGATAGCTGTCACGCTTTACCCATCTTGTTTGAGTAAGGGTAAAATATGGTGTACTGATTTAAGAACAATGCAATCCGTCAAATCTTAGTTTAAAGCATCTAAAAGCCAGACATGTAATTGGTGGCAGCCTTTAGTTTCTGGCTGCTGACCGGTAGGTAGCCGTCACGCTTCACCCATCTTGTTTGAATAACGGTAAAAGTAAATGTGTACTGATTTTAGAACAAATTGCAAACCTTCATATCTTAGTTTACAGCATCTAAAAAATCAGCCTCGGGTGGGGCAGCGATTTACTTGCACCGTGACAGAACGTCGGCATCAAGCACCAAAATCATGCTCAGGTCACAAAACTGGGAAAACATGTGTGATTATCGTTGAACAAGTGGCATCTGGGATCAGAATAATCACAACAATGCTCATGTCACCAACGACGATTGTCACTTACAGTGGTCTCCCCCACCTCTGTCTTTCTTACCATTGTGGGGTTACATGTGCACACAGCCCATGGTACATGGTTCCTGTGAAATTGGCAAAAGCTCTTGGAAAATGTGCCTAGCAGAGTGTGCCTAGTGGATGGGGTTCGTGACTCGTGATCAGAGGGTCAGGGGCTCGAATCCAGCTGCTGGCCATATGTTGTGTCCTTGGGCAAGCCACTTCACCCCCACTTGCCTTTCTCCACCCAGGGGTATACAGATGGGTACCGGCATTAGCTGGGGAGTAAGCTACTATGGACTGGCATCCAATCCAGGGGGAATAGAAATATTCTCAGACGTTTCATATTTCTAAAACTGGAGACAAATGCCGGCCTGATGGGCCACATTGGCTCGTGACTGACTTAACTAGAGCTATGACATTTGGACCAGGGCCAGAAGTCTTCACAAAGATATCCATACCTGTAGGCGTCCATGTGAATGCAGTGTCTGGACTTGTACTCCCCCTGGGCGTCCTTCTGGAAGCCGATCTCTCGGAACATGTCAATGTTGTGCGCCTTACATCGAGCTTCCACAAAAGGCCTGAGATAAAGAGGACAAGTTCTCAACTGAGAGTTGGAACACTAACACAGTTTTTTTCCCCGACTCTGTAGATTACTTTCTTTTTCTGTCTTCCACTCTTTGTGTTGTGGCCTTCCTCTCATGTTACTGTTTCTTGGGCCTTGTGATACTGACTTTTATTACAAAAAAGTCTGAATAATAATAATATCGGAGTCTTATATAGCGCACGTATCTACCAACAATTAGGTACTCAAGGCACTGGAAATTATGTCTATTATTAAAGAAAGGTAAATAAAGTTTATGAGAAATATGATACCTGTTGTGTAGCACCTTATAACGGTTTACAAGGTGCTGCGGCGCATATTGCAGCCACTGCCAGAAACACCGGGGCAAACCCCTTCTCTTAGCGATAAGTGTTACTGGGTTCTTTAACGTGCATTTCACAAACACACGGGACCTACGGCTTCACGTCCCATCCGAAGGACGAAGCAATAATGGTAAAGTGCCTTGCTCAAGAGCACAAGCACCATGTTCCCACAGTGAGGCTGTTGAGGGGTGTTTTTTTTTTAACAAATTACATCAATGGTTATTTTAAAGCACTGTCTGAACTTGTATCTAGAGCTACAACTGCAACAAAATGAAAATCTCGCATTTATCAGAGTTCCAAGCACTTTATGAAAATTTTTCCTGCTTTTTCTAAAATTCCCTGAGCTTTCCCTGACTGAAAAAAATGGAAACCCGTTTTATTTTCTGGCGGCCACTAATCCAAATTTGTGAAAAGTAATTCAATAATTATGTCAATGTCTCATTTAAAAGTGACTTTCATGCTTTCTAGCAAAATAGCAATCGAAAGAAACAGATACATTTTTCGAGGCGAAACTCCAGAATAGCTAGGAGAACGCATGTTTAAAAAGGGAAACAGGGTTTCCAGTTAACTGAAAATAACCAGCATTTATCCAGTCCACGTACAGGTCACATGGTACAATATGGGCCAATCAGCAATGACAAATCCAAAGGAGAAATGCAAAACTGACCAATCAAAGTTGTCTCCGTTGTAGGTGACCATAATGTTAGGCTTGACCTCCAGTATGTGATCCATGAAGCGTTGCAAGAGACAGGGCTCGTCGGGCTCGTTGAAGATTGTGAAGGGACCCTCGTACTCCGGCTTGGGAGTGTACTCAAAATCCTCCACGTCCTCCGAGACGATTTCGCGGTTTGTGATGAGGTAGCCCTGGAGGCAAAGTGAAAAACACAAAAGTCCTGGTAAACAAATATATATATAAAGAATTAAGTGCTTTAACCCTAACTCCCTAGGCCTTTTTGCGAGGATGTAGCCTCAATCCTGCAAAATCCTCCAATTGGCCTCATGGAAAAATAGCATATAGCCTCAATCCTGCCAATTCCAAATATGGTCCGTGGAGGGGTGACCACAGCCTGAATCCTGCAAAATCCTGTGGCAGTAACCATCAATATGTTGAGGCTTGGCCAGTGACATCCTGAAGCAGAACGGAGGATTTCAAGCATAATCCAGGCCTATATTTATGCATGGTTGAGCAAAAACAACACAAGGTTCGGCCCAAGACCTTGGCAAAGTGCATCCTACGAAATCAGTAATGCACTTTTGCCTCAGTCCTCCAAATTCCTCCACTTTGGCAAAGAGGATTTTGAAGGATTCGGGGTGGTTACATACAGTCTGTGCCAAGTTGTTTTTTTCAGTCAAAATCAATCAAGTGACTGTTTTCAACAGCTAAGAGCTCCCAGCCTATCTAAAGCAGGATTGACTGGCTGTGACTGTTTATGTAACTTGATACAGCTTTGCCTTTACAGTAGGTGATTGATAAGCCAGCTGTGCCTATCAATTACTTGCTTTTGCCTGTTGATGGAATTTGAATAGTCATAGTGCTTGCTTTAAATATGATCTGACTGTTGGTGACTAGCCAGTGTATAAAGGCATGTCAGGGGAAGAGGATTGTTTTTTTGACTGTCTGTGACTGTTCAGACAGCAGGAGGGTTTTGATCAGATAGATACCATTCACATCAATCCAATAGTTTTGCTCACTGTCTTATTAGCTAAGTAGGCGCCATTTTAATTAAGAACTCATAAAAAAACAAGGGCTTCTTTGGTAATCAAGCTTGAAAACTTAACAAGGCCAACCATCACTGATGAGCATATGACATCATAATTGCTCCAGTTTTACAATGTTGGTCATTATAGACTCTTTGCACTACACCTGCCACCTTGCAGATTCTTTTTGTTATTTCAATTCAGCAACAGTGAATGCAAAAGTGGTCTAGTTCAGGTAAATTTCACAGGTTTTTTTTTTTTTGGGGGGGGGGACAATAAGCTCAGAATTCTGCACGAAACTTAATTCAAAGTTTTGGAAGTAGCATCATTTCAAAGGGAAATTTCCAACTTAAAAGCCAGTTAGTGGTTGACAGTCACATTGATGGTATTCTGATCTCATATTTTCTTACCTGGCCGTCAATCATGTATGAGATCATCATGATGGAGTCAATCTCCGAGTCGGGAAACTTCAGAGGAAGCTTGGTGGTCTCGATGTCATAGGCCAACACCACTGGGTCCTGAATACAAACCAAAACAGCAAATAGAGGTTAGCATCAGGGTTTCATCAAGTTTATAGAATTGCCCGACAAAATTCAGACAGGCATGAGAATGATTTTCAATGAAAAAAAAACAGGAAAATTGTGCCAAAAAAACAGGAAAAATAGATGTAAAATCAGGCAAAAAGCACAAGAACAGGCTCAACAAATAAAAATGCGGAAATCTGGGCAACAAAAAAACCAAAAATAGGAATTCCTGTTTAAACAGGAAGACCTCATGCCTGAATCACTCAACTTTTTCCCGGCTTAAACCATTTATTTTTGTTTTTTCCAAAATGAATTGACTGACCCGACCCTACCCCATCCGAAAACCCCAAACGCAAAACCGAAACCGACCCGACCCAACTGATAAGATGGACAAACCGACCAGGCCCGACCCGACCCAACCCGAGTTGAGTTGCCCAATACCATTGTGGAAATGTACATATACTTGTACTTAGAGAAAACAAAATTGCCCTGTAAAGGGGTGTGAGTGACCACTGATAAAACAAGCTGAAAACACTTGAAAAAGGCGTAAAAAAACCGAACTTTGGAAATCTCCTATACTTTTGTACACAGCAAGTGAGGGAAAAAAGCTGAAATTCAAAAACAAAAAAAAAGCTGAAATCAGCTTTAAAGCTGAGATTTCACACCACTGTCTGTATTTGTAGTTATAGTTATTCCCAATTGACTCATCGCCGTTTGCGAGTTGGCCACGCCCCTTAGAGAACCCTATGGAATTTTGTGCGTTAAGTTTTGTTTGTCTCAGATTTTGCGTGTTTCCGCGTCCATCTGTATAATATGTCATTTGGACAATATTTCGCAAAATGCGTTGACGCAATTCTACCGCGAAATGTTAATTGTACTCGTTCTCATGACAAAGTACTCGTACTCATTACTTCATCACTTACAGGTCTGTCAAGAAGATCATCTCTCTGTGTGATGATGGGAGCCATTGATCCCCGCCCCTGAACCGAGTACCAGTGACCCTGCAAATAAAAGAAAACTTTTTGAATAACATCACAGTCATGTGCGTAAGTGCGTAGCTTTTTGTTTTCAAATATTCAAACCAGCAAAAAGCTATTTGAATATTCAGTTGATCGAAATATTCAAGAATTAGGTATATTCGGAACATCCTTAGACATTTCGAGAAAACGTTTAGTCAGAAAAATAGTCGGGAATAAGAACGGTCCTTAGAATTAAATTAAAAAATGGAAAAACAGGATATGTGTGCACCGGTTTAATGCCTGTGACTGAAAGTGGCAAAGAATATGCACAACCAAATACTGGAGTGTAGTCCATCACATAGTTGCAGTGCTTTATTGTCAGGTGCCCCTTTTTTTTGGACAACAACTCTCTGACTATTCATAAGATGGGATTATTGCGTCGGGGTGATGTAAATCAAACTAGGTTTTGCCCTTCACCAACGTACAAACACTGTATACTCAGTGTGTTACCTCCCGAGTGAAAGTTGGGAACAATCACTCGGGTGGGACTCGAACCCACGACCTCCTGCTTTCTAGTGCAGATGTCTTACCACTCGACCACCGAGTTAACGGGATCGGTGGGCTGGTTTGAATCTAATGTACATAGCAGCAGTTGATCGTTTACATTCTTTTCGCAGGTTGAAGCCCTTTATAAAATACTGCAAAGCACTCCAGCGCCCCATACCAATTGCCGCATGCAAGTTTTAAATGGTGCGCGGCAGTTTCAAATATACAAATATTCAGTCAAATGCGATTTCGAGTAATCGAATACTATGTTATTAAAAAATGGACAGCCTTAGACATGTCCCATCAGATTTGCACATGAAAACAGTTCTGAGGACTTAAAATGAAGAACGTAGTGAATACCAATGCAGTAGTTCTGGATAAAAGACTTTCACATATCATGCATACCACGTGGATCTTTTTATCGATGGCAACTCGGACGTGGTAGGGGACGTCGTATTCTCGGATGTCAATCAGGTTGTCCATCTGATCGGACAGTTTCTTCTGATGGCCTGCCGAGACCTCTTCGTCCCCCATCAGGTGACTGTGAAAAAAATGAGAATAAGGATGGGACTTTGCGTTTCATTTTGCAATCATTTTGCTAAACTATTAATCACTGTTTGAATGTTTAAACATTGAGCCATGTCACAAAGACTGATGGCTGCCCCAGTACGTTTGTACTTGGGCGTGTTTGTATGCGTGTACGTGTTCTACATAACCCCCCCGAGGACAGACACACAAAGAGGGAACAACAGATCCTTTCAGTCCTCGGGAGTTGGGTCTTTTGTTGGAAACGGTCCTCTGTAGTAAGTTTGTGTGCTTAGTCTATGGGAGAGTGTTATATTACAGGGACAAAGGAAACTATACTCCTCGGGAGTATAGTTAAACAAGAGAAATGTCTATACACGTACGTGCATTTAACGAAGTGATATGACCCCATTCTAAAACAGAGATCGTTCACACTAGACTGTCCTTTCTACTGTGTATGCAAGTACCAAACCTTCAGATATTGAAAACATGCAACACAAGAAAATAGACTGGCACATGAAACAACCAGTCCACACCCTGTCTCAGTCTCAGTAAAGGAAGTCAAAAGAAACATCTGGTACCCACGCCAACAGACTGTAGTCAATCTTTTTCATAAAAGTTTGGGCATGTACCAGTCTAGTCTTGGGCTTCATATTAAAACCACTTGGCTTCACTCCTAGTGCAGAATGTTGAAGAAAGGTCTCCTTTAAAAATTGAATAGAGATCTCAAACTTGGCTGGCGAAACACTGAGAACTTTATCTTCACCTAATGGAAATTTTGAAGGATTTGGAGAGAAACGTTGACCTCTCTTGTTTTGCACTTTTGTCTGCACTCAAGGTCTAAGTCTGGGTTAACCCTCCTGCTGTTTGATCTGTCACACACAGTCAAAAAATCAATCTTCTTCCCCTGCCATGCTTTTAACACAGGCAAAGTCACCAACAGTCAGATCACATTTCCAGCAAGCACTCTGACTAGTCAAATTCAGTCAAAAGACAAAATCAGGCAGGAAGTCGGCACAGCTGGCTTATCAATCAGCTTCAGTCAAAGCATAGCTGTGTCAAGTTACGTAAACAGTCACAGCAAGTCAACCCTGCTTTATGTACGCTGGGAGTTCTTAACTGTTGAAAACAGTCACTTAATTACCCTAACCGCCCTGAATCCTTCAAAATCCTTTTTGCCAAAGTGGGGGAATTTGGAGGATTGAGGTTACATGGCAAAAGTGCTTTCGTAGGATGCACTTTGTCAAGGTCTTGGGCCGGACCTTGTGTTATTTTTGCTCAGCCATGAATAAATATGGGCCGGGATTATATCTGCTTGAAACTGCTCCAGGATGACACTGGCCAAGCCTCAACATATTGACAGTCACTGCCACAGGATTTTGCAGGATTCAGGCAGTGGCCATCCCTCCATGGACCATATTCGGAATTGGCAGGATTGAGGCTACATGCTATTTTTCATTGAGGCCAATTGGAGGATTTTGCAGGATTGAGGCTACATCCTAGCAAAAAGGCCTAGGGAGTTAGGGTTTTTAATTGATTTTGACTGAAAGGACAACTCGGCACAGAATGTATGTTTGCACAGGAGGGTGGATACCTTGACAGCATGGAAGCGTAGGAGTCGCTGGACTTTTCTCGCTCCTGGTTCTTCTTGATTGCGGGCATCAAGCTCCGCCGTACTTTCATCAGCTCCTGAGTGCTGTCAAAGGACAACTTCAGGTACTTGCGTTTCAGACCCACCAAGTGATTAGGCTGTGAATTGACGAGAAGGGGTTATGTTAGAGAAAACACTACAACGAAAGATGACAAATGCCTTTCCCTGTTTCGTTTGAGTCATGGATACTTCTGGAGCAGTTTTCTCAGATTTTTGTAATGGTAACCCTAAACTACACCATTAGAACGATCTTACGCATATTCTTTAAGCTGGTACACAGTTGATGTACTGGTGGCAAAGCATACTAACATGCCAGCTTGCTAAAAAGCAGTGACTGGTATCTGTGTTGAGGATGTCTGTGTTTTGTTCATAGTCGACTAAAGTTGCCCTTTTTACTTTTTCTATGTGTTTTTCGTCCATAAAATTCTCCTAAAGGAAAGGGTTAAGTTAAGATTTTTTTTCTCAGGGGAAATAAAATTGGCTACTGCATGTAGTGGTGTTGGAAGTGTGGCCTAGTGGTTAGGGTTCTTGACTCATGATCAGAGGGACAGGGGTTCGAATCCAGCCGCAGCAAGCCACTTCATCCCCACTTGCCTCTCTCCAGCCAGGAGTATAAATGGGTACCGGCATTAGCTGGGGAGTAACCTGCGATGGACTGGCATCTCATTCAGGGGCAATAGAACTATTCTCAGTCAATTCATGCCACTGAACTGAAACCAAAAATAAACGGCAGCCTGATGGGCCATATTGGCTCGGGACAGACTCTACTTTTACTACGTGGTTAAGTTGGCGTAGCGTACTTTCCTTGATTTCCACCGCTGTGACCTGGGTTCGAATCCCACCTGGGCCAACACGTGGATTGGGTTTTCAATCGAAGCCTGATTTGTGGGTTTCCCCCAGAATATTCTTCTGGGGTTTTCTTCCCACCTAAAAAAACCCTGTAATTTCTTTGCATTGTCTCCTCTTTACATGTTTCTTCAGGCTTGCGAGCTACAGTGCCTAGGGCACTTTTGAGGAATCCTTGGTTTCATTACCAGAAAGAAATAATCATAATAATAATTGAATGGAACCTTGGGGGGGGGGGGACATTCCCATAGTGTTGTGCACAAAATCTGTCAAACTTTAATGACCCCTAACCCCAATTCCCCTTATCCTACCCCCACAAATTCTGGTAAATTTACGCTTTGGACCAAGAGCAATCGATCTAGCCTTTTTTGCCACAGTAACATTTTGCCTCCAATAGGAGTTGTGACATAAGGGAGCCACTGAAATGTCTTCTTAATGTCCGGTGTTTTCCCAAGGTATACTAACCCTAAAAGGGCCGGGGGGAGGGGGGGGGCGGACTTTTTCCACGATAGCCTTAAAAACAATTTTCCCGCGACCCGAGCTGTTATGACTTTATAGCCTCAAGCCTTGCTCATATTTTGAAACCAAAAACATAAAAATCGGACCAGGGGTTGCCGCGTAGCAAAATATTTTCCGGCGCTACGCGCCAGGAAACCTGAATTTTCCCATATACGTCGAGTACACAGACCAGAATTACCATTCATACTATATGAATAATTAATTAGCCATAATTCCAAAACCATTTGACCTATAGTCATGAAATTTCTTGGGTATGTTCATGATGAGTTTTTCTATGCATGTACTGAGTTTCAAAATGTTTCGTCACTCGATGGCCGATATCTTAGGGGGGGCGGAGTCCCCCCCCCCCCCAATCCAAACTTTTGTGACCAAAGCAGTTTATTGGCTTCAAAAGGTTTGAAGTTCAATTTCCTCCAATCGTTCCAGGGGGTGTAAGATCCGTGAACATACTCACCAGGTCCAGGTCTTCCTTAGCGACGGTTTCTATGGAGGCCAGGGTCCCGGTGAATCTCCGGGACAGGAACGAGGAGACCTCCCTCTCTGTGTCCTTCTTGCTGGCCACGTAGAAGTAAGGCTTGAACGGCAGGGAAACCTGCAACAACATAGGGTACAATAAAAGTGATTAAAAATATATTTTCGATAACAAGAATAAGCCATTTGCAAGTGACCTATACCCTTTGGGATGTAAATTTGAAAAACATCTGGTACACTGACTTGCCTAGAATGCTTGGCACATTTTAACTTTGAATTCTCCAGACCAAAGACACTGTTGCTAATCACTTGACTTGGGGCAAGCTCTTGCATAGTTACGTAAGAGACGCTCAGCACCAATACATTGTTCACAATGGCTGAGAATGGCACAAAGACACCAGACCACACCGGAGTTGGGGTTGCTTGCATTTACAAAGGCTTGCCCCAAATCACGTGATATTAGGGCTAGTGAACTTTTTTTTAAATGGTTGTATTTGTTTAAGAGATTGCTTTCATTGTAAAGCCCACCCAAAAAGAAAACAAATGATGGTAAAATTGCAAAAATTGACCCATGCAATCCAAAGTTATGGCCAAATATGTGTCGATCAAATGACGTTATTTTGTATAGGAAATGTGTACGAAAATGGTGTATTTTTGTGAAATTGAATAAAAAGGCATATTTGAACATCTGTTGTGGTGTAAATAAACACTTTGGTAAACTTTAACTTGTTTTTGTCCATTGTTTATCACAAATACTATTGGTTTCAGTTGGTTTTGAGTTGATAAAAAACTTGATATGCAATAAAATGAATGTTAAAAATGTACTTTTACACTAAAAATCATGAACGGCAAGGTTGAAAAATGACTAAGTCCTACCCAAAAGGCACTAAAAGTAACAAAACTTCCATTCACTAGAACATATTTTCACCAAATTTGGATGACACAAGGATTGTGTGTAGATACAGCATGTGGACCCAAAATAGACTACAAAAAAATCTAAAATCAAAAAAAAAAAACCTACTTTTTTTGCTAATTTTTGGCCAAAATGGAGAAATTTCAGTCTGGCATGCGTAAACGTGTAGCCTAAACTGGCCCAAGCCGAAGTCCAATTCTCAATGCCCAAAATCCCCAAATTTGACAAAAATTTAAACAAAGATATAAAACTTGGGTATCCCATTTAGGTTATAAAACGAAGTTTCTCTCATATTTGGGTTATTTTATCCCATTTTGGTGCAAATCTCATAAGCCTAGTAATTTAGTAAAAAAGTATGCGCTGTGCGTAATGATTTTCCTGCGTAATTCCAATGGCCTAACGTTACATCAGTGCCCATCACATTTGTACACAAAAATCGTACATGCTATAGCCACCCAACAAACTGTAAAAACATCAGATTTCACTCTCAAAAACGGCCACAAAGTTATTAGATATGCTACCTGAGATACAAGGAGAGATCGATTATTAAGATCGAGGAACTACGATGTGGGCAAAAAGTGAAATGATCGCCGGTACTGCGGTAGCAAAAACACTCCGAGTTCCATTTCGTTTACACCACGTGCGATGGAGTCTGGACGGTTTCCGAAAACGAAGAACTTACACTGGTATCCACTGACATATTCTGACTGTACGGGCCATGAAGGGAACCAGTGTAGAATATGCATTACGCGACGCATCACGTGACAATGTTTTGGCTGCACTCGATCTCAAAGGTGATAATTTTCTGTTGCGTTTACATTATCGCGTGCCGGGAACGAAACAGTGATGCTCACACGACGCGCGCTGTCAAACAGAAGGCGCCATGATGAAAATACATCGCGACACAAATGTGTCTATAACTCTAAAATACAATAATATTTTGAAGGTTTTAAAAAAAGCATTTCAAGCTTCGATATCACTAATTACAATTTTCAAGGTTCCATTATTATTTTCAATGTATTTCGTGATGAAAAAGTTTTGGGAAAAACAAAAAGAATCGTAACTTTGCAACGCGTAGGCCGATTATCATGGAACGTGGATGGTTGAATGGCATTTTCAATAAGCTTTCGACTGACGTATGGTTTCTTGACGTCTGCTATGCTACACTACTGTCAAGACCGAGTTAAACACAGTCACCAGGGCAGACAATTCTTGCCGTGGATCTTGAACGCATGGACCGGTCTGTGCGCGCCGCATGGCCCGTGAACGTAACATGTCATGCGCGCAGCATTTTTCGTACTCGGAGTTAAAATGAGACTTTTCAAACAGCAAAAACAAGTGTAATTTCGACTCAAATCACAATCACAATGGGAAAATATGTAAGTTTATTACATCATTGAACTATCATCATAAATTACGAGGAATATTTCAAAATTTTAACTTATAAATGGGGAATGAAAACATCCGGCTTTTTGAAACAAAATCACCGGGCGTGTGTATGTTGCGCGCATTCGTTTTGTACACAAGTGATCACCGGCAGCAAACAGCGAGTGCGCGAGCCCTAGTGATATAGTAACAGTCTCCTTGGTCAGGAGAATGCAAAGTTAAAAGTGCAAAGCATTGGATTAAGCGTTCCAGATTTTATTCAAATTTAACTTGCAAATTGTTTATTGAGGTCATTTGGGCCTATATATAGCCCTTTATACCAAAAGTCACAAAGCACTTCACAATTATTACCCCTGTTCACCAGGCCACAATCTTGACCAGTTTTCTGCTGAAGATCAGCGCAATCTGGGCCCAATTTAAAGGGAATATACAACATTTGCAAACATCGAAAAATAAAACTACCAAGTTTTTACGAAATACCTTACTAGGATGTTGGTAAATGACAGTCTAAAGCATCCTGTAAAATTATGGCACCTGGTGTGAAGTCATTTTCAAGAAAATGGTATTTTTGTATACATTTCCAACGGTGGTCGGCCGAGCACCATTGGAAAAACCTAACTATTTCTCATCTACTGCTCCAACTTTACACTTTTTTCAGTCCAAATTTTATTTGCTATTGTTCATGAACGGGTGCAGGCCAGCTAGACTGGTTCCCTTACCTTACAATTTTCCGGCATCTATGAATTGATCAATTTTATCTTTAGTGGAGTCAAGGAACCAGACGACTTGAACATTTTTGTTTTTCTTGGTTTTTCCAGCATTTTTTAACACAAAAACTTCAAACATGTCAGTGTAACAATATTTGATCTATTATACTAACCCCTTAAATAGTTCATTTCTGGAAATTACAGCAAAAGCCAATGATGTACATTCCCTTTAATGGCTCTGCTTACCTCAGAATTCCGCACTTAAGATCACCATTTTGTGCTAACCGCGCTAGCAGAAAAGTTCTGTGCTAACCCTGCAAGCACAGAATCCTTAGTTACAGGATGTACGTATGCGCCAAAGCCAAAATGATCCGCTCACCGTAAGCACTATATTAAGCAGGAATTTTCTGCTACAGTAAGCACGGATTTGTCGCTATCGGTAAGCAGACATGAAATTGGGCCCAGGATACTACCACCACAGGTACCCTTAATACTCCATGGCGGAGAGTGGCAGTTGTAGTAAAGTGTCTTGCCCAAGAACACAAGCACCACGTTACCTGTTACATGAGCAAGGAACATGGTGTAAACCTGATCTCTCCTCATAATTTTAAGCCACTGACTTGGCAGTTCTAAAGGGGCTGAACAGTGGACAACAGACCTTTGTTTATAAATACTGGGGGACATTTCTAGACGGGCAGCCATCAAATACAACACAAATTCTTGCTTGTACACATTTCCATACTTTATAGGGAGGTATTTTCATTAAATTTCTTGTTCTGATTTTTGATTGTGCAGAGTAAATCCCTGACAACAAACCTTGAATTTGCTCCCATCGTCTTGAATAAAGTAGTAATCCACAGCACTGATCAGTTTCTTATTCTCGTCCAAGATGTCTGCCTGCAAAATGAAACAAAGACAAGGGTATGTTCAACTGAATGCCCAGGGAAAAAAATAATCAAGAGACCCACACTTGGATTGCAACCCTACCTCCCTAGGGTGTGCAAAATCATATTACAATTGGAGGATTCAGGAATGTTAGGGGAAACATTTGTGGCAAATGTATATTGGTTTAGAAGCTTCAAACATTCCTCAATCTAGCAATACAAGCTTTCTAAATTTCTGATTTCCCTGGCCACTTATTTATTTTCTTAACTCTTCTCCATGACATCCTCTTTAAATTAGTGTGGTTTTTAATAAGTATTCCTCCTAATAATGGTGTACTGTAACTACTGTTCTTCAATTATCTTAATTTTTCATGATTTCTATTTCTGTTTTCTAATGTTGCTTTTGCTAATCAACAAAACGTAGAAAGAACAAAAAGAATCTACTTCTGAAAGGCCAAAGACTTCAGTTAGAATGAATGAGCATGAGATCTTAACATCAAAAGTGGTGTTTTATCCCTCAGAAATGAGAAAACTGCAATAGAATCCGACAAAATAGAATCCGACAAAATCTGCCTTCCCCTACAAAGCGGATGAGACGAAGCCTCATTTTGGAAAGTTTGTAAACTAATTTTAACATTTTCTTGTTGTTTGTATGTATACGTGTGAACGTCGCAACCGTAATTGGTGTCTGTATGCCGATGGGCCAGTGTGCCAGTTAGAATCTGACAAAATACGCCTTCCCCAGCAAAACGGAAGAGGCAAAGCCTCATTTTGAAAAGTTTGTAAGGCCAAAAAAAAAAGTCTCCGGTTTCTGGTATGGAGCTTGCCCCAAAAGTGGTGCGGCGACGCGTTTTTTTTTTTTTTTACCTGTTTTTTTTTGTTTTTTTGGCTTCGAATGTCGGCTGATGACAGCAAATGGTGCCCGACTAAACTTAGTGCAAATATATGGGAGTTCAGAGAGGCCACATAAAGCTTATTCTCGATCATAACCCCATCTAAAAACACGTTAAAATTGTGCAGCAGCAGAATTCCAGTCAAACCAGTGAGTTTGGCGGTTTTGAGATATCATCTTTTATTGAAAAAAAAACTTTTTCATTTTGCCGACGCGCTTGGCTACGGCGACGCGCGCATACCAGAAACCGGAGACTTTTTTTTTGGCCTAAACTAATTTTACCGTTTTTTGGGGGTGTAATTTATACTTGTGAACATCGCAACCATTATGGCTGTCTATATGGGATGGGCAGTTGTGCAAGTTACTCACAGGGTGCATGTTGATGAGCCATCCCACTCTCTCGGCTGGGTCCTTGTACCGATCAAACCCAAACCGTGCGTCCAGTTCATCGTTGATGATCGCCCTCTGGAGGCGAGCTTCTGATGAGTCATCGGATCTGGGTAAACAAAACAAACACAAGATGGTTTCACTGATACAGAGAGGCCACCAATATATCAAAAGCCTGAAACACTACTAAAAATATTTTTTATATTACGTCCGATATTTACGGAGGTAGTTCAGTAGATTGGCCACATTTATGGGGCTAGGATTTTCTTCTAAATTGATGAATAGCCTACCACTAGAATAAGCTAGCTTAATTTTGTAGAAAGAGGTCACGGTTTTGATTTATGAACGGAACTTGTAAAACATTACAGGTTAAATGACACATTTTTTTGTAATTTTGAACAGTTTCTTGGGCAGGTTGGTGTAGAAAGTCAGATTTGTGTAGGGCCTACGCCGTTTACCAATGTTTACGATTAGTGAGTGTCATGCAATTTGACGCGTCTTGTGCATTCCGGGTATATCGGGGTAATCACCTTCTTTCTTGTCTTTATTTTCATGTTGCGTGTTGCCGTAGTCAATCATTCTCAATCAATGTCATCATGATCATCATGATCATCATGATCGTATCGTTATTTTTTAGGCCTACCCTCATATTTCTGAATTTTGCTTAATTTCAAAACCCTGCCCTCTGTTATACCTGCATGTTCTTAATCTCGCCAACTAGTTTGTAAGTCTAAAACTTAAACATGGATTTTGTTCTCTACACATGTATGATGTATCATGTACAAGGAACCGGACATGCCGGGCCCTTACGCGATCGCCATCCCGTCTGCATAGCGCAGAGCACCCGTGACTGTCATTGTGTTTAACTTTAAACATTGTGTCATGTGTGCCAGCGCGCAGCCATGTTGATTTCCTCGACAGTTTTCAATCATTTACCTTGCACCTGAGGATTCCTTGTCCGCTCTGTACTTCCCGCTGTTCTGCAGTACCATAATGTGGCTTCCTTCAACTCAAAAATACTTGTAAAAATGTACAAAAATCAAGCATTTGTCGTCGTCTAAACTCCGGTATTAAATGTCATGAATCATTTCGCGGCAGTTCTTCATTTTTGGCGCGCCTTGAGCGGGCCACTGCGTCTGCGCAGTGCTGATTGAAGGTTACCGTTTCTCAAATCACGGCTTCATTATCCATGTGGTTTCACTTATTTGGCCGCGCCCGCAAATCATTTTCGAAGTTTCATTGTCCAAACAAAATTAGAATATTAATCCAAGTTTTTGCGTGGTATTATAAAACAATATGTTCGCGAAACAGACAAATGACATATTTTAAGCCTCTCTTACAAAGAAATATGGGTGGTAGCCGTGTACAGGACTGTGAGCTTGTAGTTGTAGGCACGTGCAATTTGGATGAAATTGGAGCCATAAAAGCGCTCCGCTATTCTGCAATGGAGTGTTGGCGTCGTTTTTTCAAAATGGCGATGGGCTTCAGGACCATTTTAAGGGGTGATGGATGGCAATTTCTCCTAAAAGTAATTAGTTACCCCCCTAAAAAAAAGAAAATTGAAAAAAAAATGAAAGATGATGAAAATAGCTTTAATTTGATGTGTGCCTGGAATACCTTGGAGAGTTGTAAGTATTTTTCCAGAATTTTTGAAGTGGGGGCATTTATCATTGGGGTCTATGGCAATTCATTTACTGGTCTGCAACCCTAAAGATATTTTGAAGTCCAAAGGACAATCCAATCGGGTCAGTGACGGATTTTAGAATCTGTATCTGTCCAAATACAAAGAGTAGAAGTCAGGCGCGGATCCAGAAGGGGGTCGGAACCCCCTCCCCTGACTATGAATTGGCTAAAAATTATAATAATGATAAGATCGGATATAAAATCTACCGGGCCTGATCCCCCACCCGCACCAATATTCCTGGATCCGGGCCCCTGAACGCACCCGATGCCTGTTTCAAAAAGCCCACATGACAATAGCGTTCATTGTTGCGTAACGATAAGTATATTTAGCACACGTATGGTCTACGACTAACGAAGCTGCCGTATACATTAGTTTCCAAACAAATGAAAACAGTTGACTCGTTATTGCCCGAAATAATAGACTTCAATTCTGTTCGTCCATGGAGCCAAAACAGATGCACACAGCAATGTTCCAGGTTTCTCCGCCTTTTATTAAGACAAATTGTTTTTGAGGAGAATTCTAAGGAGGCCTGATGGCCTAGTGGTTAGATTCGTCGTCCACGAATCGCGGACTCCGGGGTCGAATCCCGTCTGTGTCTTTTTTGCTTTTCACCGCTCGCGTTCTATTCAGTCATTATAAGATGTTTAATTTCCCGTCGTAAAATACCAACTGTACCTTAGCTTAATCGGTAAGCACTGCGGCTGGTACTGTCCGCGAGTTCCAGGTTGGCACCTTCGTACAGGTTCAGGGCATGTGGTCCACTCGGAGGATCAGGGCTTAGGGTGCCGCCCTGTTCCTCCCTTAGCTCTTTGCTTTTACATGGTGACTGGCCCTCCGGGGTTACATGGATGGACAGGGAAGGAAGTGTGTATTGGCCGGGACCCCCGAGATCCCAGAAGGGCCCTATAAGGGATTGTGATGGGGCATCGTTATGGCCCATCCAATCCCTGAATGCCTGGCTAGCACATAACTTTTTGATTTTTTTTTTAAAAGCCTTTATTTGTTAACACTTTGGATTAATTAGTTTGATATTTACATCTGCTCGGCAGGCCTTCTCTAGTATTAAAAACAAAGCAAAGGTCTTGTAATAAATCAATGAATTTTTAATAATTGACTACAATCAAAACGAAGTTTTGTTCGATCAATATGACAATGCCATTTTTAATGTCGCAATTTCCAATTGAAATAATAAACACAGTATGCAATATTGTACCGGGCAAAAATTAAAGTGTACAATGTAATATGTTTATTACATGTTTAAAAATAATATCGTTTCTTATTGTGAACATTCCCCAAATGTTTCGCAAAATAGGAAAACGCAAGAAAACAAAGCCCCTCACCCTTAAAACTAGAAACACGAAATAGAAAAACAAAGTCAAGTGGAACACCCGAATGTACCTTTAATAACGATTGAATTTAAAAATTCCATAACATGGGGCTCTTACAGACTTGCCTTTTACTGTCAGTGACATGCGGTCACGGATCCAGGGGGGGGGGGGGGGCTGGGGGGGGGTCGAACCTCTCTCCTGCTCTTAAACCATTCCTATGACGTCACACTATTGTGCTCGTGAATATGCATCACCAGTAAAAGTTGATCACCGGTCGCAGAAGTCCATCACCGATCGTGAATATGCATCACCGATTCGATGATCCCATTAAATGCCTCTTTGGCGTTCCATAAGCCCTAGAATTATAGTAGGGTAGACCACCACAGTAATACTAATGTTCTATGGTAGTGATCGGCCAGTTTTTTTGGAACAATATGATTTTAACTCACTAATTAAACAAGTGGGCACACCAAAACCGCTTTAAATATTGCCTGAACACAGTTGAAAATTGTTTTGTTTTGGGACCGATAATGTATCATTATATTTGATAGGATATATCAACAATTCTGAAGCTCGGACCCAAACTCAAAGTGTGCACGTGAATAATGAAAGCTGAAAACCCTTACTTGGCGTGAGAGTCACGAATATTAAAGCTCCATTCAACTGATTGTCCACACAATATGGGGGCATTTTTGTCTCTTTCGCCCGCCATACGAACCCTTTATTGTTATGCTAATTCAGCGCGCGCGCGCCAGCTGTCAAAAGTTCGCACAACTTCTGCCGTTGTCTGGTTGTGTAGGATACAGAGTCACACACACACGTGTAAGCACAAGATTGGAGTTTGAATTGTTAATATGATTCGAACCTTGAAGTGACTTGTGAAAGCTTGGGTTCTGCATATCAAAGGACATCCTAGGAATCAAGGATTTTAACGAACGTTATTTTGGAGAGTATCCGTATTTTGCTATGTGAATACGCGGGTGGTTGTTCGACGGCACTACCGCAGTGATATCTGCTGGACTGCAGCTACTCAATGGTGAGTTGCATCCCTCTATTTATATTGTTACAGTATTCTTTAACTACAGTAAACATCTGTCAATTCCAATACCAAAAGTTTTGTTATATTTGACAGCATTTTGGGTAGAAAATAAAGGTTTTCGTACTTGTTTTTTTTTCTGTTTGCGCCCTGCGAAATAATACCTCGTTGTGCATCCATTTATTTTGCATCCCACGATTGAATTAGACATCATTTTTTTGGAGGGGGGTTCATTGTCTTTCTGTTCAATAATTACCAGGTATTAATAACAAACAAACCTTCAACTTCCTGAGACATTACTATTATATAGTTTTTGACATCGCCAGTGAGTCAAATAATTCAATATCGCATAGGGAAGAGTAAAACCCCTTGCATGTTGCCCAAATACTGGACTTCCTCTGTGTTGTGAGCCACACAGCGGTCCTATGCTAAATGTGGGGGAAATTTGATTAGGAGGAAACCAATATTTGCAATGCTTTTTCACTCGACATTTTTACCAGGTTACTTACCAGGAAATATAAAAATGTCGTATGCACACGACCTTGGAGCCAGAGAAATATCTGTTTCGACAAACTTGCTGCAAATTGTGTCTGGAAATTACTGGCTAACTAAATACCCACAGAAACAGAATTCAATTTATCATGGCTATTATTACATCTGGGAAAAAAACTCATCCACAGTGAATATCAACTGGAAAAAAACCCAGTCCCGATCTCGTTTCCTCCGAATCAGCTTTTCCCCACATTTAGCATTGGACCGCTGTGTGGCTCCCAATGCGAAGAAAGTCCAGTATTTGTACCACACCTCATGGGCTATGCGGAGGAGTCATAAAGTAGACTTATACTCATGTTATATAGTAAACGGTGAATTTCTGTACTTTTTGCTGGTCCCAGACAGCTAGGGCCAATTAGTTCGCGCAAGGACTATAGTTGACCAATGGTTAACTAACGTTTGCCCGAACTCTGTCTAGTCGACGATGGTTGACTACGCTAGTCGACTATTTGGAACCAGCCTACCGGGGTTGGTTGCTTCGCTGGTAACCAATAGCCGCGCGCATTCATAACGCTAGCAGAGAGCCAGGATCCATTAGTTTTGCGATGACATTTTGACCAGCGTTTGACTAGAGACGTTCGCACGTTGATATCAGTGCGCAGGCGTAAGGTACGTCACAAATCAACCACTAGTCGACTAATGGTCCTTGCCCGAACTTGGCCTTGGCTTCAGTCCCCTATCTGTCTGACTGGCTCACTGTCAACTGTAAACCAGACTTGCTTAATTAAGCCTTCCCTTGGCCCCAAAAATGCAGCAGTCGACTACCGAGACACCCTAAGATTCATTTAGTCTGTACTAGCTTTACTAGAATTGCTAGTCTTTGCAGAGTATATTGTACTGTCAGAATGTCACAACTATAGTTATTGTCGTGCATCTTTGCGGCAATTTAAAAAAAACACACCTGGTTTTATAATTACTACTTGTGAAATAAGGCGGGTGTAATTTTGTTCCAGTCTTATTAGTTAGTTGGGAAAAAGGGGGTACTGTGCATCCTTGGAAATCAACTTCTAATCAACATCTCATCAGAAAAAAAATACGGAGAAAACGATTTGCTGTGTTAAAAAAATTAACTTAAAAAAGTATTGTTTTTATGCAAATTAGTGCCGCCATTGCCGAAAAATCTATTTCTCACTATATCTTGGCCAATATTGCAGACAACTGAACGAATTAGGTGTCTAAACCCATGTTTTCAAGGTCAGAGATAACAATAAAACAATTTTAGAAGTGACCACACGTGTCTGTGACATAGGAATATGCAAATTAGTGCCGCTCAATACCGGAAAATCATGTTTTTGGCATATCTCCGATAATATAGCACATAACTTCACAAGTATGGTGTCTAAACCCATGTTTTGAGGGTCAGGGATCAGCAGCAGACCATTCACGAAGTAA